GATTAAGAATAATATATTTTTAAAAGTTAAGCAAATTTGTAATTTGAGAAGTGGGTATTAAACTGGTAGACTTATGGAGCTAATAATATGCCAAAACAATCTGAATTTCTTAATTTGAATTTGAACTTGAATATTGAATATCTGAATTTAAGGCAAGTTAATTTTTCAAGACATTTTTTATTATTATTATATTTTTAGCTCCATAGTAGCCCTCCAAAAAAGGTAGCTCTCAGTTTCAAAAAGGTTGGTGACCCCTGCGTTACACGTTGAAGTCATTGTGTCCAGGCAAAAGATCCAAACACAACACGATTCATTTATTCAACTCTAAATCTACAATTTCATTATAGAATCAATCGTTTTAAACATGGTGCGCTTTCAGATTTAAACCTCAGCTGGATGTTTTCATTCACTTAAGAGCTGTTACACACTGCATGGTAGGTCATTGTCAAAAACCCATAATAGGGTATATGCGGAAGTATATTAAAGGACTTTTAATTAGTCAGTAGCCTGGGTTAAGCGCTTCCGGTGAACTTTATAACATTGCAAAATCGGCTCGTTTAAGGTCTGTTTTCTTTGAAAAACAGCGATCTCCACTGGCTGAGTGATATCCGATATAAAGTGGGTCTGACAATGTACAAGAAGCACTGCATTAAATTACATTTTCCCACTGCATGTCTTTAAAATATTAACATCTATTTTACCCCAGTATATTTAATGAAGCTTCTGCGCTAGCCTGACAGGCGTGTGCGAGTAAACGCCTTTTTATCTTGTTTTACGCCCGAGCAACTAAATGAATGCCAAAGTTTATTTAACTGATTGTATTTTAATCACATTACAACATCGTTGCTGCAAAAAGAACCATATTAAGTGGAAAAAAAGTCACATTAACCGTTCACCGGAAGTTGATCAGTATGGTAATGTTTACTCATCATCAACGAATCAGTTGAAATCGTTCTGTGTCTTATTTAACAATGACCAAGGAGACTTGAGTATTGCTTTATTTCTTCTTGCTAAAGTCGTCTGTGGTCATTTGTGTCATCCTGTTGTGTCAAGCTCTGATCTTCATTCACATTCATTCGCAGTCACTACTTACTTCTATTTTTTAAATATATCTATTATGTTTTTATTTTGTCCTGTCTCTGTAATTCTGTTGCACTGTAGAAGCTCTGTCACAAAAACAATTTGCTCATTTGTGTGAACATACCTGCTAATAAAGCTCTTTTTGCACAAAAATTGATACAACGCAAATGTGTTTACTGGAATGCACATATTAATTAATTGTTCACCAAAAGACTAGCAATGTGAGCTAACAAAATCAATAATGTTAGTTTTGATTTCATTTGTACTTTAAACTGTGTTCTGGGGCCTGTTTCAGTAAGGAGGTTCAAACAACTCAGAGTTTAAACTTGAACTCTGAGTTGATTTACCGAGAGAGTTTTCGGTTTCAGAATAGCGAATCTGAGTTAGGTCAATCAACTTTCAGTAGACCAACTCAGAGTTAAGCGCGCACACCGTGACTATAAAAAGGCATTATCAACGGAGCGCAGATATTATGAGTGACCATGGCAACATCTTTAAAAAAAAGAGATCACCATTTCTTTCTCCAGCTGAACTTGATGTGATCATGCAACGTTATAGCAAATTCATTTCATTCATTCATTTTCTTGTCGGCTTAGTCCCTTTATTAATCCGAGGTCGCCACAGCGGAATGAACCGCCAACTTATCCAGCTAGTTTATACGCAGCGGATGCCCTTCCAGCCACAACCCATATCTGGGAAACATCCATACACACATTCACACACTACAGACAATTTAGCCTACCCAATTCACCTGTACCGCACATCTTTGGACTGTGGGGGAAACCGGAGCACCACGCAAGAACATGCAAACTCCACACAGAAACGCCAACTGAACCGAGGTTCGAACCAGTGACCTTCTTGCTGTGAGGCGACAGCACTACCTACTGCGCCACTGCCTCGCCCCGTTATAGCAAATATGAAACAGAGACAGTTAGCCTGGGAAAACAGCTGCTCAAGTTAATGCGTAATTTTACATTTAAAATATTTTAATATTTAAGTATAATAAAATAAGTAATGTAATGTGTGATGTTTATACATTTTTTCTAAACTTTTATACACGTTTATCAGTTTTAATAGATTTAAGAGTGCACTTGTGTTTCTGCCTTTTTTTCTTGATAAAGTGATAGAGTTTGATATAACATTTAGAAGGTAAGCAGTACTAAAAATACATTTTAGAAAAAGTTTTAACTTAAACTCCTTTCTGAAACAGGACCCCGGTGTGCCTGACCAATTATAATCCAGTATTCCAGAACCCAAGTAATAAACATGAGCAGAATCAATCAAAGGGCGAGGTCATTGTAGTGCAGCGAGAAGGCCATCAACTTCTTTATTGCATCAAATGCAAATGAGAATATGCCCAATACACCTCCACAGTAAAACTAAAACACGTGGCCGGCCGTTTGTCCTTGCTAAATGACCCTTTCTATATTTGTATGGCTGCTGAATTAAAATGCCAAACAAGATGTCAGTGCACAACACACACACACACACACACACACACACACACAAGAAAAATACTCCTTCCATGCAGCCCAGATTAAATTTAGGCTGAATAACTATTTGCATGTTAATTTATTCCTTCTCACCCGGGAGCCTGGTGAATCGTTGGCTTCAGGAAGTTCGTAATAAAAGCTCGCAGATCGATGATAATGGCATTTGCGCTTGTGTTTGTCATCTTTGCAAAAGCAACAGTGCAGGAATTTGCCCAGATTTATATGTATACTAGTGCTGTAAGTGGCGTGTAAATTATCCCAACTGTCTTTGTCGCTGTTTATCTTTGTAAGAGTGAACTATTAAAGGCCGTACATTAATGGCCGCGGCAGCCCCAATCAATGCCTGAGTGAAATCAGCTCATTTGTGGCGCGTTTCTCTGCTAAGAGCGCCCGCTTTGCTATTAAAGACCCTCTTTTCCTGTTTATTCCATAAATATTGCTTCACATTCATACGTCAAGCTGAAATGTATCCTAACCACGGCATTTGAGTAATTTAGATAACACATTTGGCGCTTTTTTGGTACAAATGTTTAGAAAGTGGTTTTAAAACCCAATAAAACAAGTCTCAAAAAGTTGAAATGCACCTAGTGGCTCTGTCCATAGCATATAACCTACAATATAAATCCATCTAGTCATTATTTATGACCCTTTTTTGTAAATGTAATCATGCGCGTTCACAAGCGGATCGAACTCCATCCATCAAAACCAAAACGCGCGTGATAGTGGTGTTTTGAATGCGGTTATTTTCACTCACAGTTGTGTGTTTCTGGTCGTTGGGAACGTCTGTTTGTCCTCGTTTCACAGAGCAGTTTACAATTAGGTAACGTTTAGAGGATTAGGGAAGGTTTGACTAAACAGCAATCTGCTTCAGTCTATGGAAGCAGAAGGATGAGTGTGTGGAGCCGGCGAACAGATGCGCGTCCGAGAACAGGTTCCACATGTTTGTGTGTGCGCGCGCTGGCTTTGTAGAAATGTTTTGCCTTTGTTCCATTTTGTGCCACCAAAAATGTGTCACCCCCATCTAAATTTGTTAAATGCATCTATTTATTTATACAAAACCCAATATTAGGTGTATACATCTGAAATGTTATTTGAAAATATGGATTTAGTTTAGTTGTATTTTAATAGGTTGTATAATCAGGCCTAAATTTTAAATTGAATTAATGGCATCATATTTTTGTAAACTTAATCATAATTTTTTTTATTATTTAGCCTGTAATTATTATATTATTTAAGATCAAAATGTATTATATTTACTTATATATAACTGTGCTTTTCTTAAATTATAATAATCATTTATTATTATTTTTACATTTTAATGCCTTTTTATTCCAAAAAGTTATCCCTGGATGGAAATCAAACTGATTTTCTATCAACTATTGGATGTTAATTCAAGCCTTTTCCTTAACGTTGCAGTCATGAACAATCTGAAGTAAAAAAAAAATAAAATATATAAATAAAACATAAAATAAAGAGCTGTATAACCTGTATGTAGTTATAAAATAATATTAAAAGATATGAGTGTTTAGTTTATTTAATCGTATTTTAATAGTTAGTGTAGTTACATTTTTAATTTAATTAATTATATTATATATTTTTATATCTTATTTTGAATAATCATGTATTTTGTATTATTTAGCCTTTAAATATTATAATATTTTAATTTAAAATGTATTCTATTTGCTTTTATATAACTATGATAATCTTAAATTATAATTATCATTTTAAGTATTATTATTTTTACATTTTGATGCCTTTTTATTCCAAAAAGTTTTCCTTTTCTTACAAAAAGTGACATTTTTTACAATGTGTTCAATGTGCTTTTTGAATTGGGATCAAACTGATTTTCTACAAAACAACTATCGTGTGTTAAGTCAAGCCTTTTCTTTAACTTTGCAGTCATAAAAAAAAGAAACAAAATATATAAATAAAACATAAAATAAAGTTAAATATTATTTAAAATATGGAAAGTATTTAGTTTAATTAAATGTATTAAATAAACTAAATTTTAATAGTTTGAATAGTTGTATTGCATTTTTTATGGTTTTTCTTATTTTGAATAATCATATATTTTGTATTATTTAGCCTGTAATTACTATATTATTTTAAGTCAAAATGTATTCTATTTTCTTTTATATAACTATGCTTATCTTAAATTCTAATCATCATTTTATTTATCATTTTAAAATTTTATGCGTTTTTATTCCAAAACGTTTTCCAGACTCCATTTTTAAAACCCCAAAGGACATTGTTTACAGTGTGTGTAATGTGTTTATTTAAATGGAAATCAAACTGATTTTCTACAAAACAAGTATTGTGTGTTAAGCCAAGCCTTTTCTTTTAACTTTGCAGTCATAAACAGTCTGAAGTAAAAATAAATAAATAAATAATAATAAAATATATAAATAAAACATAAAATAAAGAGTATGCAGTAACCCAAAGACGATTCGACTTTATTTCTCCATATAGATTTGACTGTACACAATTCATACCATTGGACAGAAGGCATATAGGACTAAATTCAGTGCTCTTTTTTTTTTCCAAAGATCCATAGCAATAAATAGTGCTCATGAAACAAGACTGTCGACACTTTTTGAGACTTTACAAAATTTACAGCCATTAAGACTCAACAAAAACATGGTTATTTTTCTTCTTGTTTTCCTCCATGTTGCTCTTATTAGCTTATGTTCACTTTTTCAGCATAACATCCCTTTTACCAGTGTGTGGGTCCAATTTTGCAGTATCGAACTGAAAATGATTCTCCTTGTGTTTATAACATCACTGTAGTCTTCCCCATAACTCAACCCTTCATAATACTGACACTGGTACCCAAAATAGAAATAAATAACATGAAATCCTCACAGTTGTTGCTTAAACGTGTCTAATAAGAAAGAAAATAGCAGAGTAAGTTTCCCTTTCACTTGGTTTGCTTGATAATAACTGATCAGGCCATAAAGGTACTTGTGTCTGTGTAATGGAAATCCACTACTGTCATCTGCTCTGAAATAAATAACATCCAAATGCATTGAAATATATAAAGTTTTGCTCATGGAGCAATGACTAGGAACGAAAACACATTTCAATGTGGTAATACCAAAAAATAAATAAATAATAACCTTAATTTCAATCTATCTTCCTGGATATGACCAAAAAGAAGCATTGACACAGAGATTTTAAAACTCAGAGCAGTGCATGCGGATTCGTCCTTATTAAAAAATAACCTTTTTCTGTTCTTCAGGCCTGTTGACGAGAAGGACCGTCTCTAGTAGAGCCGTTTAGAAAGTGTCAACCATTAAAATCCCAACCCCTTGTAAATAGGAAAGATACACTTGTGCCACTTGTTTAAATATCTCTCCTTGCTCGGTGCGCTCCTCTGTTTCCAGTATTCAGTCGAGGAGGAACATACATTAAAGTGCGTCGGCATTTTGAATGTGGACGATTTTCCTCCTCATTCGGAAACATGCATGGAACCCTCCTGTTCTCAAAAACGCGTTGGATCGTGATTAATTTTCCAGGGTGGCCTGGGGGGTTCTCATGCTGGAAATCCTCCAATCCAGTTTTGAGAACGATGAAAAAATACGAGTTACAAAATGATACAGTGCAGGCATTCCATGGGGGTTTGCCCACACCGAACACTGTCAATCGTGGCCAGTTCTGGGAATTACGTCGATAAAATGTTGTCCATAGTAGCGCACTTTCCCTCATAGTGTCTGACCTCAGAACTGAGAGTGGTCCATTTCATCGAGCCATGAGGCCGGGCTGGTGGGGAAGTCTGGGTATCCCGTGCTGCTTCCTGTGGATAGGTCAGAGGTGGGGCCTCCGGCCATGGCTCTCAGAGCTTGACCCACACTGGGCTGACCGGCCTGACCCATGAGGCCGTCCATGCTGAAGCCTAAGTTGTTGAGTAGAGGAGTGTGGCCTGGCAGGGAAGTGATGGACGAGGGCGACTGAGGCAGGCCATAGGGACTCCCTGCCCGCAGGTCATGGTAAGGCTGCCCGCCTCCATCCAAAGAGAAGCTCCCGTTGAGCATGTTACCATTAGAGACGTCGCCGACACTTCCGTACAGGCCGTTAGCATGACCCAAGTCTGACAGGATCTGATCATCTGTTAGAAAGAAAACACAACATCAGTTTCAAAACGTTTCACTCATAATACACAATACAACAGCTCCTAAAAGTCTCATGAAACTAAAATAAAGTTTTTAGATGTTTAGTATCAGTATTGTTAGTTTTAGAATATCTATAAGTCAGTGTGCTCCAAAACAGTGACCATTTAGGAGATTTAAAACTGATATGAACATGTAAAGCTTGTAGTTTGTCACTTCCGCCTAAATGGATCAACAATTTTATTCACGTCATCTCATACTTCAGTTTCTTGTCAAATTGTAACTAATCAAATGCTCTCCTGTATTTGACATGCCCCACCCCCTTCAAGACAGTACACATTTGACACATTTTTGTAGGATCCCAAAAAAATCCGTCAGTGAACACTTAAAAGGACCATTTTTTCTTAGTTTAAGGAATCGAAAGAACCTATCCCTATCTCGAAGACCCTGTCCGGGAATATAACGATTCTATATGGAACCCTCAATGCCAATAAAGAACCATGATTTCTAAGAGTGTACTATTCAAATTTGCCCATGAAGCAAAACTGTCAACACTTTTGAAACTTTATCAAAATTACAGCCATTACATTTATTTATTTATTTTTTGTTTTGTTTTTCAGTACAGTGTCATCTGTGTTCGGTTTACCATTACATAGTAAGATTAAAGTAATCTCAATTCATCTAATCTCATCTCAACTCATTTGATCTCATCTCAACTCATCTGATCTCATCTCACTCATCTAATCTCATCTCAACTCATCTTGTCTCATCTCAACTCATCTGATCTCATCTCAACTCATCTGATCTCATCTCATCTCAACTTATCTGATCTCATTTCAACTCATCTGATCTCATCTCATCTCAACTCATCTGATCTCATTTCAACTCATCTGATCTCATCTCATCTCAACTCATCTGATCTCATTTCAACTCATCTAATCTCATCTCAATTAATCTCAACTCAACTCATCTCATCTCAGCTCATCTGATCTCATCTCAACTCATCTGATCTTATCTCAACTCATCTGATCTTATCTCAACTCATCTGATCTCATCTCAACTCATCTGATCTCATCTCAACTCATCTGATCTCATCTGATCTCAGCTCATCTAATCTCATCTCATCTCAACTCATCTGATCTCATCTCAACTCATCTAATCTCATCTGATCTCAGCTCATCTAATCTCATCTCAACTCATCTAATCTCATCTGATCTCAGCTCATCTAATCTCATCTCAACTCATCTCATGTCATCCCATCTCATCTCAGCTCATCTGATCTCATCTCAAGTCATCTGATCTTATCTCAACTCATCTGATCTTATCTCAACTCATCTGATCTCATCTCATCTCAACTCATCTGATCTCATCTCAACTCATCTGATCTCATCTGATCTCAGCTCATCTAATCTCATCTCAACTCATCTGATCTCATCTCAACTCATCTAATCTCATCTGATCTCAGCTCATCTAATCTCATCTCAACTCATCTCATGTCATCCCATCTCATCTCATCTCAACTCAACTCATCTGATCTCATTTCAACTCATCTAATCTCATCTCAATTCATCTCAACTCAAGTCAACTCATCTCAGCTCATCTGATCTCATCTCAACTCATCTAATCTCATCTCAACTCATCTAATCTCATCTCAACTCATCTGATCTCATCTAATCTCAACTCATCTGATCTCATCTTATCTCAGCTCATCTAATCTCATCTCATCTCAACTCATCTGATCTCAGCTCATCTAATCTCATCTCATCTCAACTAATCTGATCTCATCTGATCTCAGCTCATCTAATCTCAACTTACTCATCTCATCTCAACTCATGTCATGTCATCTTATCTCAACTCATCTAATCTCATCTCAACTCAGCTCATCTCATCTGATCTCAACTCAGCTCATCTGATCTCAACTCATCTCATCTCATGTCATCTCAACTCAACTCATCTAAACTCTACCATCTGATCTCAACTCATCTAAACTCAATTTATCTGATCTCATCTTAACTTATCTCATTTAATCTAATCTCATCTTTTTTTCAACTCAACTCATTTCATCTCAACTCATCTAAACTCAACTCATCTGATCTCATCTCAACTCAATTTATCTGATCTCATCTTAACTCATCTCATTTAATCTAATCTCATCTTATTTCAACTCAACTCATGTCATCTCAACTCAACTCATCTAAACTCTACCATCTGATCTCAACTCATCTCAACTCAATTTATCTGATCTCATCTTAACTCATCTCATTTAATCTAATCTCATCTTATTTCAACTCAACTCATGTCATCTCAACTCAACTCATCTAAACTCAACTCATCTGATCTGATCTCATCTCAGCTAATTTCATCTCAACTCATCTCATATCATCTAAACTCATCTCATCTAATCTCATCTCAACCTCATCTCAACTAATTTCATCTCAACTCATCTCATCTCAGCTCATCTTATCTCATCTCATCTCAACTCATCTCATCTCTACTCATGTCAGATTTTGTTCCTGATTTTAAATGGCAGTTTATCAAGCAGTTATTGGGATTTCATGACTCATATACACAGCACTTAAGCAGCTGCATGATGGCATTGTAAATATGGCCACTGAGTGAACAGATTTTCTATGAAAGGGAATTTAAAAAGAGGTTTAGTAACACCTGTAAAGATCAGATATGCAGTATTTGTGATTTACTCTCCAAACACACAGGAGCACAAACCTTACTCTGTTCTTTCAAACAACTACAAAGCCACTGCATGCTGCCTCTCTAATTGACTAAAAGCTTCACCATTTTTATAGAGTTTGCGCATCGCTGCTTTCATTTCTCGTAAACACGACCTCCATTTGAAAGCAGCTCTAGACTTTTATGAGTTCTCAAAACGGGCCGACAAAAAAAAAAAAAAAAGAATAATCATAAAATGAACCTCATTTGAATATTACAAACCATTCATCAAATGGTGTGTTTTTCTAAATGAAAGGGAAAGGAAATGAATTTATGAAGGTTTTGACAAGAATAATAAGTCTTAGAGTGGTGGCAGATGTAAAGAGACGGACCTCTGAAACTGAGCTCACTGTCACTGAGTCCTGCATCGTCGGCTGAGCTTTCCTTCTCTGTTTTACTGGAGCCTCTGTTGCGTTTGACGCTTTTGTAGAACTGACCCCACCGATGCCGGCCCGCGTCTTTCTTCAGCCGTTTTTCTTTTGCCCGTCTGTTCTGAAACCACACCTGTAGACATAAAAGCCTCATTAAACATCAGAGTTTACATCAACTAGGGCTGCACAATATATTGCTTTAGCGTCTATAGCGATGGGTGGTTCTGCAATAGTCACATATAGAAGTTTGGAGTCATTTCAGTTTAGCATAAAGTAAAAAGTTTCTCAATTGTGTTTTTAAAGCTTGTGTAAATTTGAAGCGAGTCAAAAGCATTTGAGCTCAAAGAACTTTTGCGTTTGTAGCTTTAACAAAGATTGATTGTATTAATTATTTACACAATGAAGAATATACGCCTCTATTGTACAACTGATTATTTTATTTCTCTACCTGTATACTTTTAGATTTCTTCACTTGTATATTTGCTCTACTTTTTCCCTAATTTGTTTTATGTTATTTTATGCAAAATCAATACAATCAGTCTAAAATTATTAAGTTAATTAATTAAGCTATCTTGTAAAATATCACAATATAAATTGCAGAAAGTCAAAATATTGCAATGTAAGTTTTTTCCAGTATCGTGCAGCTCTACCAACAGGTCATGGAATTTCTGAAATGTCATGTATTTTTAAAAGGTCTGTTTCAGGAAAAGTCATGGAAAAATCACAGAAAATTTTGAATTATTGTGGCTTGAAATAAAATGAAATAAAAAGCAAATTCTCTCAATGATTAAGCCAAAATTTCTTGTTTTGTTTTGCTATATACACTCATACAGTAGGTGAGAGTTCAGTGTGGCCATTACCGCCCAGGCAAATACTGCCTCCGCTTTAAATGGGCAAGCAAGTGTTTTTTTATGTATGACCGTAGTTTGTGAATATGCCGCCAGGGGCCACAAAGGGACAGGATGCGAACGAACAGAAATAGTCTTTACACCAGCTGTAAATATGCTACTTTACTTATAAATAAAGATAAAACAATAAAAAAGCATTATAATTCCTATATCAATCATTAAAAATTTGTTAACACACGTTATTATCATTGTTAACTTGTTAAGTTCAATGAGGATTCATTTTGGAAATACAATTGAAGAAATAAAAGGCAACTAAAATAAAAGCAGAAACATTCAGTACAAATAAGTAGGCCTAAATAAATAAATAAAGCCTAAATATAGAGAGATGTTCAGTGTTTGCTATTTTATTTTATGTCTCAATTATTGTATATAATAATAAACAAATAATGAAAAATAAATAAATAATGAAAATAGGCCTAAATAATATATTTTTTAAAGACATTGCAGCGAAACTCTGAGAAACGTCCGGCGTATGGTCTAAAGAGCTTAAGTTGAATGCACATCACATTTTACACTTATGTTTTTTGACCTCAAGAACCATTGGTCTGTGTTATTTATTTAAATCAAGCACTGATAGAAACCAAGATTTACCTCTTCACCATACACTTAAAAATGGCATTTGCTGTTTGTTCAAAATATCTATTAAAATTGAGTTGAAACAACACAATTCTTGATTTTTTTTTCACTTTTTTGGTTGGGGGGGGGGGGGGGGGGGGTTTGGGCAACTGAACTATTTTATGTTCAATTCATTTAAATTTGTAAAAACTAATGTTAACTTAACTCCTTCATGTTGCCCTAACCCAAATCGATTGTGTGGAACCTGGCATTTTTTACAGTGTAAGCATATTTGATTCATATTTGATACAAGAATGACTCTAAATGATGAAAATATGATGGTTCAAATCTCCTCAACAACAACATAAAACAAATCATAATACAAATGACAATTTTAGCGATTGATGCAACAAATGTAGTCTTATTCAAATAGGTTTTTGCTGAATGTGCATGATAATGCATCTAAAATGGGTCAGACACCAAATGAGAACTTTCTACATGTGAATATAATGTTATTGAATATAAAACATTGCAGATGGCACAGAAGGAATTTGAACAGTGTCCTTGTCGGCCAATTCATATCTGCGGCAATTAAAACATTTTTAAACTCCTCTAAATTTTGCACCATGACTTTGCGTTAAATTCGTTGATCACAGAATCCTACAATTCTGGAAGGAAACAACAGCTGCCGGTTATTTATTCATTATAAGTTATAGAAGTCCAGCTTTTTAGCCAGTGAAAAATCCCGGAATTTGGCATGTGGTTTAGAGTGGGATATTATGTTTGATGTAGTTGTAGTCTTACCTGCACCACTCTCATGTCCAGGCCCGTTTCTGAGGAAAGTTGCTCTCGCACGTGTCTTGCTGGTTTTGGCGAGTTCTTATAGGCGCTTTTGAGAGTTTCCAGCTGTTTGGCTGTGATGGTGGTGCGTGGACGTTTTGCTCCTGTTTCTGAATCATCTGAAACACACAAATTATAGGCATTTGTTTACAAGACTGTCACTGAAGAGGACTGTAACTGAGGCCTCGGTCTGCTTTTGGCTGGATAAACAGATCCACCCAATTCAATTATTGAGATGATGTGGAATAAAACTACAATCAGAGTTATTTTTAGTTAACAAATACTTAATTCTTACTTGAAAATATATATTTAATATATTTATATTTAATATTATAAAGTTAAAGCCTAATTAAATCGGGCCATATGATTGTATTTAATGCTAGAAAAATAGTATATATATATATATATATATATATATATATATATATGAATTGGATGGGGAAAACCAGAGCACCCAGAAGAAACCCACAGCAACACATGGAGAACATGCAAACTCCACACGGAAACGCCAACTGACCCAGCGACCTTCTTGCTATGAGGCGACAGCACTACCTACTGCGCCACTGTGTCGCCTCAAATGTTTTTTCTTCTACTTAATAATAATGTAATCCATTCTTGTATTTATGATTCAAAATGTTTAATACTCATAATTAATTTCTGACAACTATTTGATATTTTAAAAAGTTCCGTTGCTTGATTTAAAAAAATAATGGGGTTGGATTTCTGTCTTTAAATACATTCCGTAAAGGATCAACATTTATCCTTTTTCTCATAACCATATTCATATGAGTATTTGAATCAGTATTTCATCTTTGAAATCATTTTGACTAACGAATAAAGTTAAACATGACCTAATTCCAGAATATATTTAGGAACGTTTACTTAGAACAGGGGTGTCCAGACTAGGTCCTGGAGAGCTGCTGTCCTTCAGGTTTTAGCTCCAACTTGCTCCGACACACCTGCAAGGATGTTTCTAGAAAGCCTAGTAAGAGCTTGATTGGCTAGCCAATGTGTTTCTGGTTGGGGTTGGAACTAAACTTTGCAGGACACCCCTGACATCCCCATTTTTGTCTATCAAAACTCTATTCTCAGAAGCTCCCAAATCAGCTCATTGAGGTCATTGCGACCTCTTGAGTGGACCTGGATTAATGAATCAACTGTTCATATTGCTATTTGCTACGTGTTAATTATGTCTAAAGTGATATTTTACACAGGAAGTTTGGCCAGAGGAGAAATGGTCGTGCCCAACAGAGCCTGGTTTCTCTCTATGTTTTTATTTTTCTCCTTCACTTTGTCAATTGGTGTTTTTTTTTGCACGACTAGCCTGCTTGGTTTGGGACTTTTGGAGCTGCGCATCGATGGATTTGCTCTTCAGTGTTTGAACTTTCAGTAGTGAAAATTAAACCACACTGAACTAGACTTCAACTCCGAAATCTGGACTTCTATGTTAAGCGGCTTTGACACAATCTACATTGTAAAAGCATTGTAGAAATACAAATGAAATTAATTGAAATTAATTGAATATTTGCCGGCTACGCAGTAGTGCAGTAGGTAGTGCTGTCGCCTTACAGCAAGAAGGTCGCTGGTTTGAACCTCAGTCGGGTCAGTTGGCATTTCTGTGTGGAGTTTGCATGTTCTACCCACATTCGCGTGGGTTTCCTCCGGGTGCTCCGGTTTCCCTCACAGTCCAAAGACATGAGGTATAGGTGAATTGAATAGGCTAAATTGTCCATAGTGAATAAGTGTGTATGGATGTTTCCCAGCGATGGGTTATGATTTTAAGGAGAGCGGCCTACGAACTTATTTGTGAGTGTTGAAGCTGGCTTCTGCTGATGAGACTGCAAACTATTTTCAGTAAACTTTCTTTCTGATTGAATCTCTGACTCCGGCTCTTCTTCATCTGACAGACTGCTCATTTTTGGGTTCAAACTGTAAATTAAACCTACAAAATGCTGCTACATTTTCTTTTAAAATACAATAAAACTTTTCAAAAACACCACTTACTTCACTTAGAACTGTTTACAAATCTTTAGGATAAATAGAATCAACGATAGCAAAAGGGATGGATATGGAGATGTATTTATACTCTGATTTATATAAAAAAAATTAAAAAGACCACTGAAAACCACTGTTTAAACACCTTAATGTTATGGAATGATGCTCAGTGTTTCCAAGGAAAGGTCCCGAATCTTTCTTATATTTCCCCTATCTGGAGAAACAAAGAATTAAAAAAATATATTTTGGCTTTAAAAAAAAGGGCATTAAAAGGTGTCAGAAAGATTGGGCACTTATTTGAAGGAGATACACTGATGTCGTTTAAAAACTTTAATGAATAATTAAGAATTCCAATGACACATTTTTTTTAAAATACTTACAAATTCACAGCTATATTAATATTAAGCAAAACTACTCACTAGCTAGAATGTTTTATGAAAATCCTATGACAATTTATATTTCATTGTTTTATAGCAAGTCAATGGCTCTTAAGAAACATCACAATCCAAGAAAGATTCTTGGTGTACAGATTTGCACAGCCTGATCTCACGAGAAAACGTAAGTATTTTACGTTTTGCCAGTTTAGTGGCTAATTCGTACGAATTCGTACGAGTTCAGTCGTACGAAATGGTACGATTTTAAAAAGGAGGCGTGGCACCTGACCCCACCCCTAACCCCAACCGTCATTGGGGGATGAGCAAATCGTACTAAATTGTACGAATTAGATCGTAAGAATTCATACGAATTAGCCACTAAATGAAAAAGTTACGAATTGCCGTGAGATTGTGTTGGATTTGCAATATGACCTGACAGATTTAGAATGAAGCCAAATATGTGTTAAATCCCAGAACTTCATAATAGATTTAAAATGATCCAATACAACTAAGCAATGTCCACCTAAATCACACCTGAAAAACTAAACAAGTTTAACCCAAACATCCCAGATATATGTTTCAAATGCAAAAAACAGGAACATTCTTTCACTGTATCTGGGAATGTGAGGTGGCTAAGATTTTCTGGCAAAACGTAATCACATTAATCTCCTCATTTTTTTTAAACCAATTCCAGTTACACCTGAAATATGTGCTTTGGGTTTATTTCCTGTAAGTTTGTCATTACCGGTTTATCAAACTAAAATGATTGACGTGTCTTGTTATTGCAAGGCGTTTGATAGCACTCTATTGGAAGAACATAGATTGACCATCCATTGACCACTGGCTGAAAGACTTGACACATTACATTGCACTGGAAAGAATCACCTACAATATAAAGGGCAAATAAAAGGTGTACCATAAAATTTGGGATCTGTTTATACAATTTTTGGAACATAACCATACAATGACACAAGCAATTACCTCTCACGCTACTGGTTAATTGTTTGAAATGTGTATATGTGTATTTTTCTATGTGGAATACAGTATATGAAGAGATTAGATGCAAAAATCTTTAAATGCAGTCTGAAATTTCTTCTAAAACGGCCATTTATTTCAGGCTCCAGTGTTTAGGTTCAGTAATTTTACATTTTTGGCAAAGAATAAGTTCTTTTCATGGTTTTCAAAGTGCAATAACTCAACATAAATCATGCTCATTTTTCAGATGGCATTTAGAGGTTTTTTCATCTGAACTCTTCATATGTTTTTCTTTGCCTTAGCCCATATATAGCAATCCATTTACCTGTTCAACTGATTTTGGATGCTTTAGGGGAGGGAGGGAGAATTAAAAATGTAAAAACGTGTATTTTCACATTACATTTCAAGTGTTTTTTCTACAATTAAAATTTTTTAAAAATATTTATGATAACAGATATTATAAAGATTGATGTACTTCTATGTTCTTTTACATTATAAATCGCCACATTGGAATGAACTGCATGAAAATATTGAAGCCTATTTTGGCACTGGCATTCTCCCCCTAAAAAGTAAATCCCTGAAGCCATGTAAATCCCCCATGCAGCAGGTGAGCGGTTCATGTCTGCTGCTTGAAGTACGAGTATGGAAGAGTGTTTTGCGATGAGAGCGAGTGCTCACACATGGCCAGTCGATACTCTCCTGAAACTGTCACACTGTGCCGGAAAAGGGAATAAATCTCGGTGGAGAATGGCATGCCGGTGCGAGTTATTGGGGCCCTACCATAAAAGTGCATTGCATCACTTAATATAATCAATCAACGGCCCACAGAAATCTCCATAAATACAGCACGAGGGGCTTTCAGAGGCAGATCCATGAGAGGTCAGACCACCCAGAGACTTAATATGCAGACACGGAGACCCCGTGAGACTGCAGTTAATGATGATTTTGTCTCCTTACTATCATCCCGCTGCCTCCTCTGATCTCTCAGCGTCTCGGTATGATTGTAAAAGAAGAAGTTAATTACAGCATCTCCTCTCCTGAACTCTGCTGTCACAATGATTTCCAATTGGGACAGAAAATCTAGTAAAGTGGGCCGAGGCTTCAGCAAAGCATCCACTGCGCAAACCACATGCAGGCTCTATAAAAGCTTGACGTGTGGCAATTCAGCAGCTAGATTCAACTCAAATGGGTGATTAGTAATTGGTAAAACCCTTGTATGTAACTCATGCTTCTCTTGATTTTTCCTCTTTTTATAAATTTGCATTTAATATTTTTCTATAACATATATATATATAAAAAAAAAATATATATATATATATATATATATATATATATATATATATATATATATATATATATTTATATATATATATATATATATATATATATATTGTTTGTTTTTCAATACATATATCAATGTTTAATCATTTTTAATCATCTGAGTTTTTAAAGAAGCTTTGTTAAATCATTTTATCTAAATATAAACGTATGTAGAGTTATGAAATTTGCATATGTATTCCTATTCATTGTTTATTACAAATATATGTAATACATATAATAAAACTGATCATTTTACAACATTTAATATTTGCAATTATATTTTAAATAAATGTATATTTTTATTAAATATATTTGCATGTTCAATAAAAGTAGATATTTATATTTTATATACATGGGACTTGTGATGTCTTATTGATGTCTTGATTTCTGTGTTTCATCTTTTTTTGGTGTTTGTTTATATTTTATATAAAATAATCGCACAGGTTTTATAGCTAGTCATGGCTTATTATACAGGGTGATTCAAAAAGAATACCAAAACTTTGAAAATCGAGAACCCTGCAAAGAAGAAAAAGAGAGCTAAGCTTTTTCTGTTGTCGATTTAAGCAAGCTCTGATATTTTTTAAGTACTCTTCACATTGATTAATTAACCAAGGTTCTATCATGGTTTTTTGATTAAATACAGATTTTTAAAGTTTGGTATTCTTTTTGAATTACCCTGTATATTTATAATAGCAGCTGAAGTCAGAATTATTAGCCCCCTGTTTATTTATTTATTTATTTTTTCAAAATTTCTGTTTCATGGAGAGAAGATTTTTTAACACATTTCTAAAGATTATAATTTTAATAACTCATTTCTAATAACTGATTTATTTTATCTTTACCATGATGACAGTAAATAATATTTGACTATATATTTTCAAGACACTTCTACACAGCTTAAAGTGACATTTAAAGGCTTAACTAGGTTAATTAGGTTACCTAGGCAGGTTAGGGTAATTACACAAGTTATTGTATAATGATGGTCTGTTCTGTAGACTATCAGGAAAATATATAGCTTAAAGGGGCTATTAATTTTTCTATCTTTACAATATATATATATATATATATATATATATAGCATCATGACACAGTTCTGTGATGTTTTATGGCCTTAGTTCGCTTGTCTCAGTTTAAAACACTCCAGCACATGTAATAAAATAACACAAATATATTTAAAGAGAAGGATTTCAAATTTTACCTTTTAGATTTAGAAGAAAAAAAAAAAAAAAAAAAAATATATATATATATATATATATATATATATATATATACTAACTACGGTCAAATCATTCATGTAATCTAACCCAGTAACCTATGCAATATTTATGATTATAACACAATCACGTTGATTATTGAAAGTTAGTAGCTCAGAATGCACACTATTTATTATTATGAACTAAGATCATTAAATGTTGTTGAGTAATTGTTCATCGCTATTTAACACAAACTATTATAATACAAACCAAAGTATCAATCAAGTGATACTGCAGTATTGTCCTTTTTTAGTTTGTGTTAACTAATGTAGTAAACTATAACGTTAACAAACCAAACCATTCTTGTGAAATGTCAACCAATTGAATCAAAAGAATTCAGCATAATTACTTACACTGTCAAAAAGTTTATAACTTTAATTTCTATCTATTTCTATATCTTTTTGGTAAGAAAAAAGGTACATTTACTACAGTATATTTCTGAAATCCTAATAGACATATGCTCTTTTTTATATGAATACTTCCTCAAATTATAACACAATCACGCTGATTATTAGAAGTTAGATAGCTTAGAATGCACAGCTGAAGAAGGCCTGATTTCCCCTGATCTGGAATCAGCAGCTCACCGTTCTGCTTGGCTGTTTCGTAGTCCTCTTTGCACACGAGTCTGCCGTCCTCCATGAGGTAGAACTCATCTCCAGTGGCCAACTGTCTGCTGCACATCACACATGCAAAACAGTGAAGATGGTACACAAAGTCCTGAGCTTTCCGGACCACCTGTGTAGGAGGAATCCCCTGCTGGCACGATGCACACTTTGTCCCGAAACGCCTGCAGACACACACATAAACAGAAAAACGCATCACTAAGATAAACTTACAATGGCAGCTTGTGCTCTGCAGCGTTTATTCATCTGTATTAAAGCCAGTAATACAAAGCTGATTATAGTTTGTTAATGTAAAGTGCATTAAGTTGCTAACGGTAACAGTTCACATTCATTTATTTATTTTCCTTCTGCTTAGTCCCCTTATTCAACAGGGATCGCCACAGCGGAATGAACCACCAACTTATCCAGCATATGTTTTACACAGCCGATGCCCTTCCAGCTGCAAGTTAACATGTTTGAACATATTCAAACTAACAGACTAACTGAAAGCAAGGCACATTTTGCAATGTTATTCTGTAATTTTCTCCCATTTGTCTTTTTTTATAACCTGGGAAATTTGGTTTCTTATTCTTTATGTTTGATTCTAGAAAATACAAACTTAAAAAAACTAATTAAATGTTGCAATTATTCTGAACTAATATTATTAATTCCTGTTGAATAATTGTTAATTGCTATTTCATACAAACAAATGTAGTTAACTATAAAGCTTATTGTAAAGTATCAACCCAGTTAATTGTAAGGATTAGGTGTCACCAACAATATTGAATGCTGCAGGAGTGTTGTTCATTGTTAGCTTGTGTTAACTACTGTAATTAACTATACCTTTAAGAAACAAAAAAATCTTGTGAAATGTCGGTCCCACTTTATTTAAGTGGCCTGAACTAATATGTACTTACACTGAAATTAATAAATCGATACAATGCATTTATTGTCTAAAGACAAGTTTTTACATTGTATGAATGATTGATTAAATGCACACATGTAACTACATCTGTAATTAATTTATGTAATTACACTGTTAATCAGTAATTACATCTTAAACCTACCTATACCACCAAACCTGTCTCTAACCTTACCCATATCCCACCTCAAGAGCACCAGTGTTCTCCAATATAAACACATTAATGTATGTATACATGTATAGATTGGGTACATACAGTAGTAGTTAAGGACACCTAATATAAAGTGGGACCAAAATGTCAACCAATTTAACTCAAATTTAAAGCAATTAGTCATGACAAGAAGTTTTATGGTAATTAACTTATCCAAGACAAAAAAAAGGCTTTTGCTGCTTATTAAAACACACTCTAAAAATAACTCTAAATGTCTGTTATTACTACATAGTAAAATACATGTTTGTAAGTTAAAAATTCTAAATTGCTGATTAGATTAAAACTTTTAAGTTGTCAGAATAATTTCATTACGTTTTCACAACGGGGAAATATTGATAATTACATCAACTGAAAATGCAGTTAATTTAAAGGTAAATATGTCTGTCAATTAGTTTGAAACTATATTTAAATTGTAGCAACCCAAAGAAATTGGGTGGATAACACTATTTTTCTACACAAATAGACTTCTGGATTTCAAAGCTCAAGTTTTAGGCAGACTGTTTGGCACAAAATACAATTTAAAGACAGATATCTGAGATTTATTTAATTATTAGATCAATTTTCTCACTGGAGTGTTGGCTACTCCTGGTAAATACAGTTGATGTTAGCAGTGCTTTACAATAATGCACAGTAATTTGAGGAGGACCTTGAAGGGCAAGTGAAGACAATTGGTGATTGTTCTACTTTGGAATTTAACTACAAGACGGAAACCATCATGGTTGGGGACATCAGAATGCTAAATGGAATGGATATGTCAAGGTGCTGTGCTCTGCTGATGGGCATATATATGTTGTGAATGTAAGCTACCTCTAGAAACTTCAATAATGTCTCAAGAACAATATTTTTCAGAGTAGATTTTGCTCTTTATTTTGCATTTTATGTTGTTTCGTATTTTTGAGTCCGCACACTGATGTTTTTTTGTTATTTTTCATAATGTTTATATGGACAGTGCACATTTGTTTTTGTAAAATACTGAAAAACTGTGGTATAAAATAAAAAAAATAAAAATACTGGAAAACAAAAATGTTGTTGTTGAATTTATTTCTTACATGCAACTAAATGAACAGCAAGTTTCAAAACATACAATAATTAAACAATTTCAGCTGCTTAATTTATTTGAGGTTCTAAACTTAAAAAACTTGTATGTATAACTATGGTAATTAAGTGAATTACACTTGATTTATTCTAAATTTAAATAAAAAATAGGTTGAGTAATGTTTCAAATGGAGTTTATTCTAAAAATAACCTGTTAAGTCAGTTTAACTTAAAATGTCTCATAATAATGTTAATTTGATTCAACAAAAAAAAATTACAATTTAAGATAATAATATAATTAAATGTTGTAAAAGTACTTTTCATTATTAGTTCAAAATAACTACTGTAGTTTTCTAATGATAACAAATGAATAAGAAATCAATTAAATTTAGATTTGTATCATTAACTAATTATTAAATGCTTTACAAATAATGTTCATAGATTGCAGTAACTGACTAACATATACTGTAAAAAAATACTGGTTGCCTTAATTTTTTATGTTGAATCAAATTAACCTTATGAGTCATTTGAACTTACATTACATCAAATTGGCTTAAAACAGCTTGCATAACCTAATAATAATAATAATAGTAATAATAATACTAAGTTAAAACATGATTAACTTAGCTTAAGTAAGTTAAAATGAACTAAACACATATATTATATATGATCATATATTTTTTTACAGTGCATGAAACCATATTGTAGTGTTACCAAAATTAATTTTGTGGTTTAAGCATTGTTATTATTAAATGTTGCAGCAATATTGCTAATTGTAAGCACACAATATTGTAACTAATTTAGCATTATGTTAATCAGTGAAAACTCTTTATTAAAGATTATGCACCATTTACTAAGATTAATAAATGCTATATAGCAATATAGATCACTGTTGGTTTAAATAGCTCATGTAGTAAACCAATGTTAAATGAACACAATTCCTTTTAGGGATTAAGCATTATTATCTACTTTAATTGTTATAAAAGTAGGGTTTACTGTTTGTTCATGCTAACTAACTCACTGTTTACCTAATCTTAACCCTGTGCCTTGTTGGCCTGACCATCATTCCGGGTTCTGTTGCAAATGTGACTATTTTATAAGCAATCAAACCAGTAATAAGTTAGCAAATCTGTGAATACTACGGCAGGCATCTTTGTTTGTGCTTGTCATGTGCCTGCAGTTGACAAACGGTCATGATCAATGTAGCAGAACCAGAGAGAGAGAGAGAGAGAGAGAGAGAGAGAGAGAGAGAGAGAGGAGAGAGAGAGAGAGAGAGAGAGAGAGAGAGAGAGAGAGAGAGAGAGAGAGAGAGACCACTCTAAACGCACAGAACGCCTCATAAAGCACTGAGTCAGAATAGGCTGTAAATCACAGTGTGAATACTGCTAAATAAACCCTCCTTTTACTTAACCAAGGTGAAGTTTTTGCAACATTAACGGGAAGGCGAGCCCCTCCGCCCCCTCGCCCGTTTCCTCCTCCATCCCCCTCCTTCCATCCGCAGCCTTAACATTAAAATCCCTCCTTTTGTCCCCACGGGCTTGCTAATAAAGTTAGCCTCCACTCTGAGTCTTGCTAGCGTTTTAGGTCTCATTGAAGCCTGTGACATTAAAACCTCTCAAACGTGATTTGGTAAAAGCCACTACTGATCCTGTTTTGGATAAAAGTCAAACTTAATTTCCTTCCTTAAAGCCAAGGGGGAAATCCAATCGCCAAAAAATAAGGAAGAAACGAGGAAAGAAAGGCTGGGAAGACAAGGGGAAGAATGGTAAAAAAAAATGCAAAGTTGCTTTCTTGAGTTCTCGTATGGATAGCATTGGGAATTGAATTTGGGAACAGACAGTCTTTACAGCTGATTTCAAGCACACTGTGCTTCCTAACCTGACACAAGAAAAATGAAACAGCACTTTATTAAGCCTGACAGGGAATCTTTACTCGAACACACACACACACACACACACACACACACACACACACACACACACACACACACACACACACACACACACACACACACACACACACACACACACACACACACACACACACACTAGTGCCAAACTGCACTAAGAGCACAAGGAATAGCCTCTGTGTGAAGAGAAATTACTCTCTGCTTTTCTGTCATTTACAATTTTAGATAATTTATAGTGTGTTATGTGTGGCAATGTTTTGACTCAAAATCCAGGATAAAGCATTAAATTAATACAATTTTAAAAAAACTATATTAGAGAAGATTACTAAATATACCTAATTTAGGCTAATATAAAGGTTTTAGTCAATGAGTTACATTTTGTACAAGTACATTTTGCATTATCAGTTCAAAATGCCTCTATATATCAAGACAGACAGACAGACAGACAGACAGACAGACAGAGATAGATAGATAGATAGATAGATAGATAGATAGATAGATAGATAGATAGATAGATAGATAGATAGATAGATAGATAGATAGATAGATAGATAGATAGATAGATAGATAGATAGATAGATAGATAGATAGATAGATAGATAGATAGAAAATCTTTCATCCAAAGTTAAATAAATTGCATTACACAAGTACACCTAATTTATCAGTTTTTGCTTTCTCTGGAAATGGAACCCACAACCTTACTATATCGCCATGCTCTAATATTTAGGTTTGTATTAGCCTAAAAAATAAAACGGAGAAGTCAGATTATTAAAATGACAGACAGAAAGATAGACAGATAGATAGAGGTGTAGAAGAGCTGTACTGACTTGAAGAAGTCCTCTTTGCAGTAGACATTCCCGGCGCGAGAGAAACATTTGTCCGCCAGGAGCGCGTGGCAGTCGGCGCACTTCAGGCATTTTGAGTGCCAGTGCCGATCCAGAACCTTTAGGATGAACTTATCCAGGATGTGTTGACTGCAGCCTGCGCACTGAGGGATTTCTGGAGAGCCAGGCAGATAAATTGGTAGGGTGAAAGGTCAAAACAGAAAATAGGCTGCAACAATTATTAAATGCGTTTTAACTAATGAGTTTAACACACATGGTTATGTTGTAATGTTGGACTAATATTGCGATATTGCGAATTCTACCGTCGTGCATTTGTCTTTCATTCTTTATGACCATATATTCATCATGTTATTGAAAATGCTACTGTACGATTATAACAATGCAAGCGTTTTATATAAAGTGACAAAGAAATGTTTGAAGTGAAGTCTTGTTTAAAAACAGCACGTTCTTCATTTGGATTGCATTAGATCTGGAATATTACAGCGTAAAATAAAAGAATAATCATGGGGAAAAACATTAGCATAATTAAAAACCGTATAAGGTTATAACATACTACAATGTCATTAACATTTAATATAAAAATGTGAGGTTATATAATTAAAAATCAACAGAATTATGCAGTTGGATCAACATAAATGAATACAAATAAAGCAAGATCATCATAATAATACTACTGTACTATATGTAAGACTAGTAAGTCAAATTGGTTAAATACGGTTAAATATTACTGTTAATAAATTATAAATATTAAATTAGCATATCCTTCTTAGTGATGAAAGCACATTCCAGGAGACAACGTATACGCGGACCGGTAAATGGTGGACAGGTGAGGAAAGATGTCTATTTGTTGGTAAATAATCAATATCTCTGAAGAAAACGGGCGAGGACATGAAGACATTGAGATTGAAATCATATAACTGCTTCATCGATTCTTTAACAGAGAGACAGAGAGAGTGGGTCACTTTAATTACTAATGCTTAAAAACAGCAGTGAAATCAAAACCCAAACATCAAGTAAAAGTAGTATTTACGTGCAGTTCATCGACGGTAAAAAGAAAGTCAGTGAGAGGAATAAAAGCAATTCTCGGCGCCCATATTTTTCCTAATCACAATATCGTGATATTTAATTTCGACATTTGACCTCTGATCTTGCAATATTTCTGTTGACAGGTTCTCACGCGTGCCGTTTTGATGGATTTAACAATAGACAGCATATTCTGATATTACGATGCAAGCACTATGATAGTATTTTCAAATAGGTCATTTTGATTACAGCAGGTGCTTAAAACCGTAATCACGTGAACATTGCGTGTGGTTAATGGAAACCCATGGAAAATGTCTCAAGTTCACAAAATTGACCTTTACATCAAACCACGACACACATAACACAATATGCTAAAAATGCATGGATTAAACGTTAACTAAAATATAAATTGATACATAAAACAGTAATTTTAACATTTAAAATATTGATTAAAATACAAACAAGTGTATTAGGATACTTATTTTCATTTTATTAAACAAAATATTTAACTACGTCATAATTTAGCAATTATTCTGACAATATTTCTCCATTCTATAAAAATAAATAAATCTTTATATTTAGGATACACTCTAAAAAAAAATTCCGTAAAAAAACGGTAAAATGTACTGGCAGCTCATTACACAAATATTTTACCGTAAATTAAAAACGGAAAACTTCTGTTAATTGACAGTGTGTCCACATTAAAAAAACTAAAAAATATCCGTTTTTTGACGGTTAAACTACTGTAAAATAACGAACCATTTTATAGTAATTTAAGGGTTTTCTATATAAAAAAACGGTTATTTTCTGTGTTTTTAAGGGTATACCAACAGTAAAAAAGCGGAACTATTTTGTGTTTTAATAGTATACCTACTGTAAAAAAACAGACAGATTCTGTGTTTTAATAGTATACCTACTGTAAAAAAACAGACAGATTCTGTGTTTTAATAGTATACCTACTGTAAAAAAACAGACAGATTCTGTGTTTTAATTGTATACCTACTGTAAAAAGAGGACTTTTTTGTTTTTTAATAGTATATATACAGTGAAAAAATGAACAGATTCTTTGTTTTAATGGGATACCTACTGTAAAAAAAATATTATTTTACTAATTTAATGCTCTTCAAGCAGCATAGAAATAGCAGTTGGTAAGGATAAACCTATACATATGGGAAATACACTACTAATGGTTTACCATAGTAAAACAAAACATGTATTCCATACTGTATGTGTAGAGAAGCAGTAAATAGTTTGTTAACTGTGAACTTACAATGATTAGTACAAAAACAACTTTGCAATTAAAACAGATTCTTTAATGAATACAAATCATTTGAATTCCAAATAGCAAGTTATACACACAATAAATACATATTGACATGTGAATCACACAGTGAGAAGTCTTGGCAAATAATCTCAAAGCAAATTAGTTTTAAATGTTAGCTTTAAGATAATTGAGGACAAGTGGGCAAATTACAAGTACTTTACATTAAGAAACCAGGTTAACTGCAAGATGGCAGGAAACAGACGATACAACTGGATCTTCTTCCGCTCCAATACTGATACTTCAATGGCTGTAAAAAAAAAAAAAAAAAAAAAAAAAAAACATTACTAATGACATTTCACTTACAACTGGGGTAATTCCTTGCATGTCAATAGTTTACACAAATGAAAGTTTTATCATCATCTTCATGTCTCACTCTTGTCATTTCAAGCCTGTCTGACTGACATACTTCAACAGAACAAAATAGGAGAAATAGGAGCAACATTCTTTAAAATATGATATTTTGTGTTTTGCAGAGGAAACAAAGTCATACAGGTTTAAAATGTCAAGAGAGTAGGTAAATTATGAATGATCAATTATTCAGTTTTGGGTGAGAAATCACTTTAAGATTTTTCAAAATAAAGTGTAGGTACTTTTGACAATATTCGGAACAATAATGCAAGAGAGAAACAGTAATATAAACAAACTATGCTGGTAACACTATAATAACTACGGGCTATGATTCATTTATGAAGCATTAGCAAATAGTGAATTCATTATCTGTTAAGCATTAACTCTACATTAATAGATGTTAGCAGTTGGTTATAAATACAGCTGCAAAATTTGCTACAGCTACAGTTTAATAATTGTGTTATCAAACTTAAATGATTGATTTTACATTACTATTTATAGATAAAAAAAAAAAAAAAAAAAAAAAATATATATATATATATATATATATATATATATATATATATATATATATATATATATATATATAATATTATATTTAATATTGCATTATTTACAAAATTTCTTCCAGTTGTGGCCTAATCTAAAGTGAGGATTATTTATGATTTATAAATCCTTATAAACGACAGTTAAACCTTGCTGAATAGCAGGAGTGCCAAAATATAACATAAAACTGGATAAAACAACAATAAAATAATTTAATGATATATTACGATGCAACATTTCAGTGTTATTTAGCTATGTTTAAACTGTACAGTAATTTTATTTTAGATAAGATTTATTTTTCATTTAATACAATAAAATGAATTTCATTTTTAGAATATAACTGAATCTTTAATTGTGATTTATAAGGCAATTTACAAAGCATAAACAATCCTCACTTTAGGCTACAAAACTGGATGAAGTTAACAAAAGCACTTATTAAAATAAGTATTGTATATACTTTATATACTTATTTTTTATACTTTATATACAAGTATAACAATTACTATTCATTCATGTATTTTCCTTCAGCTTAGTGTGTGCTCACACTATGTATAGTTGCCTTGAACCAGGCCGAAGCACTCTTGTCCTCCCTCCCGTCTCCCCTGACGTCCCGCACTCACATTGCATTCGAGCCTGAGCACTCTTACATCATCGATGATGCGCTGTTTAGTTTAGGAAGTGCTCTCAGCACGGAGGAGAATTCTTTAGTTATATTGTTTTAGTCGTTTGGGATGCAGTAACACGCTGTCAAGAATTTCGCCGAACAGATCAGCCACTTTTGATGTTAATAAACAATCATAAACTCCTTGTGCTGCAGGAATAGGAGGTTTGCTAAAGGCGCAGCTGTGGTGCAGTAAGGGGTTTGCGTTCATTGAACAGTAATAGTGGTTAATTTATCCAAATCAAAGTCCCTTGCAAACTGTCATAGATTAAAGACACAAACCCCTCACTGCACAACAGCTGCACCTTTAGCAAACCTCCTAGTACCTGCAGCACGTTGACTTTGATTGTTTATGAGTGTCAAAAGTGGCTGATCTGTTCGGTGAAATATTTGACTGCGTGTCACTGCATATTGAACAACTAAAACGATATAACAATATAAAGAAATCTCCACTGTGCTGAGTGAGAGCACTTGTTAAACTGAACAGTGCGTTATTGATGATGTAAGCATGCTCAGGCTCGAATGCAATGTGAGTGCGGGTCGTCGGGGGAGACAAGCACGCTTCCAGTTTCAAGGCAACTGTGCATAGCATGAGTACGCCCTTGGAAACACCCATACACACATTTACAAACACACTCATACATAACAGCCAATTAAGTTAATCAATTTCCCTATAGCTTATGTCTTTGGACTGTGGGGGAAACCGGAGCACCCGGAGGTCTTCTTGCTGTGAGGCAACAGTGCTAGCCACTGAGCCACTGTGCTGCCCAACTATTACTATATGCCTGAATAATAAGATATATAAATGTTAGTTTAAATAGTTTATTAACCATTTACTTACACATTCTGAATGATTAGAAAAAAAATACACCAACTATTCTTAAATTACTGGTTTGTAAATAATGCTATACTAAATTTAGTAATGAAAAATTAATCATTAACAAAATATAAAAACAAAATCATTAAGCACATTATAGATGTGCTTATAAGTCAAGATTACAGCATTTGCAGCTGTAGTTATAAACTGTATACTAAGGTCTGTTAATGTAGAGTTAAAGCTTAACAGAACTTTTTGCTAATGCTTAATAAATTAATCAATAGTGTTTAGTTATTATAAAGTATTACCGGTTTGCTTAATTACCTTTAAATCTTCCAAGGATTCTGAAAGTCTTTCTGGTCTGACAGGAATCGAAGGAGTTTAGATGGTATGTTTCTGCTTGGTGCACTTTTTTCTGCTATGGACCTACATTTTGGATAGTTACTCAGCATGCTCCTGTTGTAAATACAACAAACATGTATCAACTTACTTGTCTTATAAAAATGAAATAAACTTAAAAATGTAAAAACAGACCTTCATATAAACTCCAGAGTCAGGGCTGCTTCCTTAGGCTACATAATGTTTAGCACATAAGAGACTAAACATGTAGCTCACCACAATTAGGGGACAGCTCAATGATCTTGTTATTGTGACTGTGGACTCTTCTTCTGAAAAAAAGAAAAGAAAAGTGAGTTGTGTGTTGGGTCTGGTACACGTCCACATGGAAAGAACCTATATAAACATATGGTTTAATATAGGTTTTGATTTAGGTTTTTGAAATATGTGACAAATATAAAATTGGCTGTTTTCCTATATTACATGTACATATATGGGTACACATATGCACACCTATATGGTAAATTATTAATATTATTAATAATATTATAAATATTATAATTATTATGTAAAATTATTCAAATACATGTCTGCTACATAATTTAAAAGAAATTAAAAAATATATATTTACTTAATCAAATATTACAAGAAATAATTATAGTGCAAGAACAAAAATAAGGCAAAAAAAAAAACAATAAAGGAAAGAAAAAAAATGTAAAAAAATTATAAACCATTTTGTTTTACATTTCTTTCTTTTCCACTATCTTTATACAAGAAAGAATTGACCTTGAAAATGTTTCAGGAAAACGTGTAGACATCATAGCTTTCCATCTCCTCTCACTTATTTGCCATAGTTAAATTCCATAACATGCCAATAACATGTGATACAAAATTCAAGTGGCACATACATAAGTTTTTCGCATTTTTTAAGTTAGTTCTTACCCAGAGAGCAAACCTACGTTAAATTAACATTGAATAAATGTTAAAACATCAATCAAACTATCATTGAAACAACGTTAAAAAGTCACCACTGATTTTTAGGCAGTTTTCCACCCTGAAATAATGGTAATTCTATGATAATAAATAGACAAAACTGTCCCAAAATCAGCATTTATTCAACCAAAATTAAATCTTATTTTTTTACAATGAACCCAACATTAAATAAAATGTTAAATCAACCACACTATCATACAATTAATGTTGAAATTTAAAGTAGATTTTTAGCCAGTTTTGCATCCTGAAATAAAGTTATTACAATGACGCTAAATAGATTAAACGGTCACAAAATCAGCATGAAGGCCTGGCTCACCATCAAGATGCCCACATTGAAATTGTCTCTCTCATCATCAGGTGGCTAAGAGAGAAAAGAAAAGAGATTCAGCAGTGGACCAGTTATTTCCTTATCACTTTAAACAGACATTACCAAAATAAAGAACTTGTAACATTTCAAATGATGCAAAAATAAATAATAATAATAAATAACTGCTTGGTTCATTTAACAGATTACAGTAGCAGGTTAAAAAACCCAGATAAAACACCCACATCAACCCAGTACTTTTTAGTTTGAATACATGTTAACAAAATTCAAAACTTACTGAAGCAAAATGTGTTCATGTAAACACTTAGTAAAAATATAGGTACAAGTAATTGGTTTGCCAAATAATAAAAATAAAAGCATCAATATCAAACAAAAACCCTGACCATTTTACCTCTTAAACTTGGAAGTTTACTGTCATCCCCTGTATTAGGTACAGATGGTCCAGCACAACTGCCTGAGTTCTGAAAGAGCAAAGACATTCTTGGTAAAATGACAATAGATGCAATGCTAAATATAAATCATTTTTTATTTTAATTTTTTGTATTATTTATAAAAATGCAGTACTGACCAGTCAGCATCAATTTTTACACCAACACACCTACAACAAAAATAACACTCATTCAGTTTGAAACATGCAGCACATAGTCTACTTTTATACTTTACAAACTTTGTGGATAATAAAAAAAAATGAAAACATTTAAAACCCCAGCTGTATTTTATTTCATTTGTCCATATTAATTCAAATTCAGTTTGGATTGAATGTAAGATTTAAGATTTTTATTTAGATTGCTGTGAAAATGTACCTGTACCTTGTACTTATAACCAAAATTACAGAACCTGGAAATCAACAAAGCAAAATATCAGTGAACCTTATATGTACAAAACACTTAAAACCAAACAGAAAAAACGCTGAACATTTTACCTCTTAAACTTCAAAGTTTACCGTCATCTCCTGTATAAGGTACAGAGGGTCCAGCACAACTGCCTGAGTTCTGAAAGAGCAAACACATTCTTGGTAAAATTATAATAGATGCAATGCTAAATATAAATCATTGTTTATTTTTTTGGTTAAAAAATGCAGTACTAACCAGTCAGCATCACTTTTTACACCAACACACCTACAACAAAAATAACACTCATTCAGTTTGAAACATGCAGCACGTAGTCTACTTTTAAACTTTAAACTTTGTAAATAACAAAAAAATGAAAACATTTAAAATCCCAGGTGTATTTTATTTCATTTGTCCATATTAATTCAAATTCAGTTTGGATTGAATGTAAGATTTAAGATTTTAATTTAGATTGCTGTGAAAATGTACCTGTACCTTGTACTTATAACTAAAATGACAACATAAACATAAAGCAAATCTTATATCATATATCAGTGAACCTTATATCTACAAAACACTCAAAATCAGAAAACAGAAAAACCCTGAACATTTTACCTCTTAAACTTGAAAGTTTACAGTCATCTCCTGTATAAGGTACAGAGGGTCCAGCACAACTGCCTGAGTTCTGAAAGAGCAAACACATTCTTGGTAAAATGACAATAGATGCAACGCTAAATATAAATCATTATTGTTATGGTTAAAAATGCAGTACTAACCAGTCAGCATCAATTTTTACACCAACACACCTACAACAAAAATAACACTTATTCAGTTTGAGACAGTCTACATTTAGACTTCACAAACGTTGTGAATAATAAAAAAATGAAAACATTTAAAATCCCAGGTGTATTTTATTTCATTTGTCCGTATTAATTCAAATTCAGTTTGGATTGAATCTAAGAATTTACCTGTAACATGTACTTATAACCAAAATGAAAGAACCTGAAAGTCAACAAAGCAAAATATCAGTGAACCTTATTTGTGCAAATAAAACTCACTTAAAATCTACATAAAAAGATTTCATTTGCGATAACACCATGTGTAGTTCACTCTATTATCAAGGTTTCATTAAAATAAAACTCCTGATCTCCTAATAGTAAAGAAAGTATTGTTTGCTATAATGAATCGAACTGACAATTAGTTTGAAGAATTTTAAGACTGTGGAAGAACAACTCATCTTTATATCTTCATATTAGCTGCCCTTGAGGTTCTTAAAAGTGAATAAATAAATATCAATGACAGTTCAACTCGACTACAACAAACATTTAATTGTCTGCTTTAAGGTACACGTTGTATTTGAGGCCGAAAACGCATGACAGTGTAAACACTATAAATACTTTTAAATGTCACACACGTACTGTATCACTCTGTTATCTCTGTACACACAAACACGCGTCGCGAAATGCGGAAGTTTTTTTTTTCGTTCCATTTGGCGAGCGTTGTTAAATTCCATAACATTCTCATCAGTTCTTGCTTCTTATTTGCGTCTATTACCCCAGTTTGTCACGCGGGATGAATGAAATGTTCATGAGTTAAAGTGAAACTGCCGAACTGCAGTTAAAGTCAGGCATCCTGCTGATTTGATTCATAAGGGCACTTGTTTGTCAGACGGCTCACCGGTCAGGTATACATCCGCGCTAAAATATCAAAGTATGAAAGTCACCCAGCTCCCAACCCAACGTTGAGAATAGATTAACGGCGATATATTTTTTTTTACCGCGCGATAAGTCTCGCGTTAACGCAGCACGTTAATGCTGATAACGGCCCACCACTAATAAAAACTTTACGAGTGTGTATTTCCCCTCATACCGAGTTACAAATGCCTCCAATTCACGCGAGTCTAACTTATAACTTACTTAAAAACCAGCAAAGCTGTTCCACTGAAACTCGGTCACACAGCCTTAATACGTCGGTCAAACTAAAGCTAACATTTGATAACGTCAGTAAAAATATGAAATTAGTCATTAATATGCAAACAAACACAGACGGTCAGGTGTTACGAGCGTTTGAAACACGTTAACGTTAGTGTTCATTAAAGGTAACGTATATCAACCAAACTACACAGTGACACAAACTTTGAATGCTATCCCTTGTTCAATGCACTGTACAAAGAAAACATTTATATTTCTATAAAATAATTAACATACCTTTTACACTCTTACAGACAAACTGACGTTTACCGTTAATCCAGTCAGGTGCAGAGGGAGTGAGTGGGTGATTGGACGTCACGCCACTTCCCGCGCACGGCAGTTTAGAAAAATACGGACAAACAACTGTAAATGAACAGATATCATATTTACTGATGAGAAAAACGTATAAAAAGGTAAAAAATCATTAGGTAAATGCTTGTTTAAATTACATTTAACCACTCATAGCTCAGTTTGATCTTAATGAAATAAAGTCTGATCTTATTAACAATATTAAACGTAATTCACTGCTGTACTTTCCATGGGCGCTTCATAAAAGACAAAAATCATTTTAAATAACGATAAAAAGGTAATAAAGCAGTCTTTTAACTAAAATATTGTTATATGTTTTATTAATCGTACTTACCAGGGAAAAAACAGAGGAAGAAATATGTCCCGGTGTCCATCAAACGCTGTCTGAGCTGCGATCCCCTTCCCACAATGCAATTCGAAAATGTATATAAACGGAAAAACACCCGTAATACGTGTATACGGAAAAAATCTGTTAAAATATACAGTCATTTAACTGTTATTTTACAGATTTTTTTTACAGTGTAGATAGATAGATAGATAGATAGATAGATAGATAGATAGATAGATAGATAGATAGATAGATAGATAGATAGATAGATAGATAGACATACCACAATATGCTAAAATAATGCATGCATTAAACATAAACTAACATATACATTGATACATAAAACAGTAATTTAAAAATGTAAATAAAATAAAAACAAGCGTATTAGGATTTTAATTTCCTTTTTACTACATAAACTATTTTAATAATTTAGAATTGCCAAATATCCTGACAATTTTACCCTTTATATAAAATATTCTTTATATTTAAGTTCCAATAACCTACAATATATTTTCACGCTATTTACAGTATAACCACAGCCTATATTGCGTTTTAAAACCCAAAATACTTAACAGTTTCTTGTAAGATGCAGTTAACTAATTAGCTGTTTTACTGCACCATTGGATACTTGGTTTTGCCGTGAGTTTGTAAAGAATGAGAGAGAGAGTGAATGCTCGTGTGGTGCTGAAGGAACAGCGACTTCAGCCTTCAGCTTTTAACGCTCATTTACTAAGGATGTATTTGATTAGCCAGTCAATTAAAAGATGGCTACCATGACGGGCCTTTCCTTATCATCAACGTATGCATCTTTATTTACCAATCACCTGATTAAATTCGTCTGTTATTGATGTATTTTTATCATTTAACGTATTCTTCAGTGTTTGCATGCTTTTTTGTTACTAATAATTGCCCATATGTTGTTTTTAAACATCTTATTCATTTAAATAATAATATTTAGCTCCATACCGCGAGAACAGATTACTCTTAAAATAATCCTCACTTAATCCATCATTCATACGCGAAGGGGGGTTGAGTAGCAATGTCTTTTAATCATTTAATGAAATTAAGCATCAGCGTCTGACAGACCTATATATTGCCTACTTAACCTTTGTCTATTCTTTAAAGAAATGCTAAGTGGTTGATTTTCTATAAACACATCTTCCCCTAGAAATTGATTCTGTGCTCATTTTTTATATTTCATTGTGTGCAAATTACAGAGAATAATTATTTTTCTTTTGTTTTCTTTTTTTACAATATGAAACTGAAAACGCAAAAAAAAAAAAAAAAAAAAAAAAAGATTTCTTAGGACCATGTGTAGGTTTCTGAAGCCCGCCTGTAAATAATTGGGTCAGGAATTTATCCAATTCAAACTCCATCTTGACTGTGAGATCAGATTATATAGGCCTAACACAGATTAACTTCCGACTGATTAGGACCAGATGCGAAGATAATAGGCAATGCCATTTTTAATAAAAATGTTCATGTGCTGATTTTAGATGGTCTTATAATCTCCATTTCATTTCGATAACACAGCACGCACTGTGCTCCGTTAAACCACTGCATTATTGAGAAATCCAGTTATTTTCCTTTCTTTCTGGTTGTTTCCTTTCTGACACATTTTAGACTGTTTTCTAACTGCATCAACTCATTCAACAGATGTGCTGCAATTTATACATAACTGTTCTGCCCAGCTATGCGATCTAACAACGCAAAATCTGCTTGGGATTCATTAATTTATTTTCAATTGAGAGATTCTAAATCATTAGATTTACATTTAGACACCTTTTGTGATGTTATGGCATTAAACGTGTTACATAACTCAATTATTAAAGTTGTTACAGACACACATTCATTTGTTATTGGTCATAATATTATTTTTGGATGAAATGCAATTTAAGATGAACATTTACAGTGCTGCGCGGTCGACCGCATTGTTGCACACAACTCGTCCTGGTGGCCCATACAATTCCCCAGTGGAGTTTAATTAAAAGCTACATGTTATTCCACAGTAGTGGCCTGCAGACGCCCGGAGGAGGCCTGCCAATTCTCTGATGAACAAATCAATATAAGGAGAAGAAAAAGCCCTTACGTTGCAGTGGCACTCCGAGGATGTCCGGCAGACCCTTCACCGCGCTCTCGCCGGGCAGCACAGCCGCACTTTGCATCATTTTCATCCAGTCCGATAAAACGCGCACATGCACACGCTCGCGGAGGTCTGAGGATCTCAGATGTGCATCAAATATTTTTTCTCCCCGGATAGTGTCCTTTTAGAGTCCTCGCGCCTGTGCGTATCCTCGTGAAACAGTCGGGCGCTCGCGCGTGAGTTCTTTCGCCGTGTGTCACACAAACCACTTGATTCATTCACACTGCAGGGGTGGCCCTGACGTCACTGCCCCGGGGGGCCAATAGGAGGCGTGGACGGGAGCCAGAGAGGCGGGAACTTGTGTGGCTTGAGCTCTCAGGTAAGTAGAAAAAGCGATAAGGAAGTGATGACGATGAATACAGGGCCGCTGACGAAATCACCGGGTCTGAAGTGTTTTTAGACCCTTTTGTGACATGCCAGGGTGCAGTCAAATAAATATTAGGCTTGTGTGAATATTTCAAGTATAGCTTTCAGCGTTGCTTTGATGTCGAATGGATATTTCTGTGTGATGCTGAGATGCAGCTACTGGGATGTGTATGTAGAAATAGATCAGCCAGTACACTGAACGTAAAGGTTTCAAAAAAGTCTTTAATGTTATGTCATAGAAGAACTATTTGGGTGAAAATAAAACTTTCAAAGAACCACCCAACGAGCCATATGCTACAGATTTTTGCTTCGTGTCAAGAACATTTTAATCTGAATAACCCGACAATGACCTTTTTGTGGAATGAAAATGTTCTATGGATGTTCAAGGTTTCATTTTATTAGCAAAAAAGCTTTAGAGAAACATTCTTGGTTTCCCAAAATAACATTCCAGTGTCTTTTCAAGAGTGAAAGAACAGTTATTTTGAAAAGTGTAAACTGATAAATAAATAACAATCAAAGACGCAAATCTATTATCATAGGCTAAACCTTGTTAACTGGTTGTCTTAACAATGTAGGCTAAATGATGAAGTCAGTACGTTTTTACAGTAAGATAGGCTACCACAAAAATAAAATAAAAAATATAACCGCGGAATATTAGATCATTTTAGAGCTAATAGAATAATATTTTATCAGATTATATATATATATATATATATATATATATATATATATATATATATATATATATATATATATATATATATATATATATATATATACATATATATATACACACACACACACACACACACACACACACATGTGTACATACATAACATCCACAGGAACAGTTACACTTTAAATAGCTCAAATTAATCATCCTATTTGTGTACAAAGCAAAAAAAACGAACAAACAAACAAATGAATAGCCTAAATTAAATAATAAATTAAAATGCTTAATGGCAGAAAAGGTCTTGCGAAAAAACCCAAAACAAACAAACAAAATCAAACTTGAGTGAGCCTTAACGTTGTTTATCAGCAGCCGCGACACAGTCGATCCTGACAGGACTCATTTCTTTCGAGCTTTTCTCCCTCTAGAGAGAGCGGAGTTCAAGCGAGATGAACTCAATCTTCACTTCCAATTCTCTTCATGGACACTATAATGCGCTGCGAGAGCGCGCGGGCTCCGACAGCACACCGTACAATAACACGGGCTTCAGTCTCATCATCCGCACTCTCTCTGCTTTTCTACCTAGCCTATAAACTGTCTTCAGTGTGAGTTTTCTAGTATAGATCACTCCTTATTTATAATGAGCCTATTATGTCTGATCCAGTAGGCCTATGTAGAAAATATGTACGAAATAACAAACTCGGTCAATGTGATACAAACGATAGCGTTCTTGTAAGTAAAAAATAAATTTGCATTATATGACAATTTACAAATGTATAAATATAATTTTATTCTGTCTTACATTTAAACAGGATCACTGAAAGGAAATAAGTATTTTTTGAAGATCATTTCCTCATGATTTTAAATTTAATTCTATTCTATTCTATTCTATTCTATTCTATTCTATTCTATTCTATTCTATTCTATTCTATTCTATTCCGCAGCCCCTTCTCAAAACGCTTTGATACCTGATCAGTTTTAGATAACACTAACAATTATTACCCGTCACCTAACATCGTATACAATTAAAATTCTCTCATTTATATCAACAACGTGTTTCAATTCTTGACTATCTATCTAGCCTGCATAGTGTAAAATACAGTAAAACTATAGGCTAAATCACCAGCAGCCATGAGATATGTAAATAAGACGTGGGTGTCATCAAAGTCAGATTATCCGAAATTTGAAAGTACGCAATCCCGTCCACAGTCTCGCTTAATGGCTCCAGTGTAATTTAGTTAAATGAAAGTGATCGTCAAGCTGATTAAATGGTGGCGAACACAGGAGACCTCAAGCTCCACCGGATTCCCTCTCCACGGGCCAATGGTGGACATGGGAATTATCCCGGGCCACGCTTTTGATTTTCATTTTGATTATGGCGAGGAGTTATTATGCAGATTATTCAATTACGCTGATGGTCAAGTAAAAATGTGAATTTAGTCTTACTTAAACAGAACAGAGGAAAGCGCCAATGTTTTGCCACACGATTAAATACATTAATCCACATATTAGTGGGCGCGCGCGCAGTTATTTTGCGCCTCAAAGTCGCTATAAAATGCACTAAAGGGCACCTGTCCGAACAATGAGAGACCTGTGCGCTATAATTCAGCGAAAGGGTGCGACTCCCGCTGACCTCAGCACCTCTAATTACCGCCAGTATTTCACACTATCCGCATTCTGACACCACGAGCTGCTGCTCCATCATATCGGTAAAAGACAGATCAGATTTCAACCCCTCAACCTTTCAGCCTACTCCTCAGCAAACTTGGACAGATTCATGTGACCATCAGTATTCAAAAACAGTTTCCACAGAAATTCAGACGAAAATAAGATCAGGGTGTAAAATTATATAACTGTAATCAAAAATAAATCCACTAGATCGTTTTGAAGACGCTTTAAAAATGATGACAGCACTTTTAAACAAATGAATGTCATTATAAATATGCCATAATAAAAATAAGGCAAAACTTTAGTTTAATTACCAATTCCCACTATTAATTACTGGCTTATTACCTGTTTATAATTAAGATATTTAAGGGAGTTTAAGTTTATTATTAGTTTATAAGTGCTTATGATCTTCCTCTAAATCTATTCTAAATCTACCCAACACCTAAACACAAATACAAATAATAAACCTAAATGCTATAACTTACTTATTAATAAGCAGCTTATCGATCTAAAAGTATTTGTTAATGTTTGTTAATGAATTGACCCTTAAAATAAAGTGACCAAAAGTATTATTAAAATCTCGTAATTTGTGCTCATGTTAATAGGCTAATAATAGTATTGCCGAATAAAAGAAAATTGATTAAATAGAAAAATGAAGGTAAGGTGGCGGTCCATTCCGCTGTGGCGACCTCAGATTAATAAATGGACTAAGCCGAAATGAAAATGATTGAATGAATGACAGACGGTGAGACATGTAATATCAGTGTATTTGTATTTGCCCAACAGATACTGGAGAAAAATTAGTAGAGTGAGTAGTGTGAATGTAGCACAATTGCTTGTTAACAAATCTGTTTCTAAATAAAAAATAATTAGAAAAGCATTTGTAGAAATAATAATAAGCAACATAAAGTACTACGCATTAACACAATTTATTCATGCACAGCAAGTTAAACGCCCCTGTTTTCTATTAGCGTTTACAACCTACCCCAGGAGTGAAGCAGGTTCTGACAACAACACTCTCTGTAGCTATATTTAAATGTAATTTACATACTTCAGGGAGAAGTTTCCAATCTGCAAACTTTAATTTGTAGCAGACTAACGCAATAATATTACATTAAAAAGCAAGACATACTGCGTAAATCACACAAACTTACTAACAAATACTGTTCAAATTTTACGCTGACTATAGCCTGCAAGACACATGTTGTTTGTTGAAAATCTTTGCTTTTCTTCCTCACGTTTTCATTTAAAAGCATGTAAAACAGTTTCTAAAAAACTTTATACGATTTGAATCCGATATGAAAACAAACCAGCACGTTAGCACAGAGCGTCATGCAAACCTACCGACAGTCTGATATCATATTAACTTCAGCACCACGCGAGCTGGACAGCGCTCGAACACGCAGGAAGTCCATGTAGAATCTTCCCAAACAGCAAGCAATAAAACAGCACAGACAGAAGCGTTTTACCTGTCTACATCAGCCTGCTGCTTTCCATTCCACGTAAAGAGTAAATAAAGGCTGCAACATCAATGTCAGAAGCCGTTCCCCCCCAATTTTCCCTGCAAAGGAAAGACAGAAAGAGACCTCAAGAGAGGGCAACAGAGAAAATTAAATTGCACTTGGGGGCAAATTCTATTAGGGAATAGTTATTGTCTCTTGACAGGTCCTGTCCATTTACGTAATTAGTTGAAGTACGAGGTTCGGTATTGTTTAATAAGAATCAGAATTCAGCTTTGAGTAAGTTACACTTGGGAGACGTTAACCTTGTTGAGATGCTGCAAAAACATAAGACAGCTCTATCAGTTATGCCAGGATATAATACTACATATGAAATCCTTCCAGTAGTTAGTTTACAATGCACAATACAATGCATCTTTAACAGTGAGGTGATTGTTATTCTTTTGGAAATAATAATGGAACCTAGTTTTGATTTTGAAGTATGAAAAACTTGAAAAGTAAGCAATATAATATAATATAATATAATATAATATAATATAATATAATATAATATAATATAATATAATATAATATAATATAATATAATGTCATATAATATAATATAAAGTCATATAATATAATATAATGTCATATAATATAATATAATGTCATATAATATAATATAATATAATATAATATAATATAATATAATATAATATAATATAATATAATATAATATAATGTCATATAATATAATGTCCTATAATATAATATAATATAATATAATATAATATAATATAATATAACATAATATAATATAATATAATGTCATATAATATAATATAATATAATATAATATAATATAATATAATATAATATAATATAATATAATGTCATATAATATAATATAACATAATATAATATAATATAATGTCATATAATATAATATAATATAATGTCATATAATATAATGTCACATAATATGATATAATATAATATAATATAATATAATATAATATAATATAATATAATATAATATAATATAATATAATGTCATATAATATAATATAATATAATATAATGTCATATAATATAATATAAAATAATGTCATATAATATAAAATAATGTCATATAATATAATGTCATATAATATAATATAAAATAATATAATATAATATAATATAATATAATATAATATAATATAATATAATATAATATAATATAATGACAGATAATATAATGTCATATAATATAATATAATATAATGTCATATAATATAATGTCATATAATATAATATAATATAATGTCATATAATATATTAAAATATAATATAATATAATATAATATAATGTCATATAATATAATATAATATAATATAATATAATATAATATAATATAATATAACATAATATAATATAATATAATATAATATAATATAATGTCATATAATATAATATAATATAATATAATATAATATAATATAATATAATATAATATAATATAATATAATATAATATAATATAATATAATATAATATAATATAATATAATATAATATAATATAATATAAAATAATATAATATAATATAATATAGGCAAAGCAGTGCCGCAGTAGGTAGTGCTGTCGCCTCAGCAAGAAGATCGCTGGGTCGCTGGTTCAAGCCTCGGCTCAGTTGGCGTTTCTGTGTGGAGTTTGCATGTTCTCCCTGCGTTCGTGCAGGTTTCCTCTGGGTGCTCCGGTTTCCCCCACAGTTATACGGTACAGGTGAATTGGGTAGGCTAAATTGTCTGTAGTGTGTGTGTGTGTGAATGAGTGTTTGTGGATGTTTCCCAGAGATGGGTTGCGGCTGGAAGGGCATCCGCTGCATAAAAACGTGCTGGATAAGTTGGCAGTTCATTCCGCTGTGGCGACCCTGGATTAATGAAGGGACTAAGCCGACAAGAAAATGAACGAATGAATGAATGAATGAATGAATAATATAATATAATATAATATAATATAATATAATATAATATAATATAATATAATATAATATAATATAATATAATATAATATAATATAATATAATATAATATAATATAATATAATATAATATAATGTAATATAATATAATATAATATAATATAATATAATATAATATAATATAATGTAATATAATATAATATAATGTAACTTAACGTAAGGTAACATAACATAACATAGCATAGCATAGCATAGCATAACATAACATAACATAACATAACATAACATAACATAACATAACATAATTAATATAATATGACATGAAAAAATATAATATGCACATGTAACAGTGAACTGATACTTGAAAGGCTAAACTTGAAAGGTGAACAATGAGCATGTAATATACAAAGCATAATACAACATATAATATACAATGCATCTTTAACAGTGGGTGACTGTGCAATCTATAATGAAATCCAAGAGTGAAATTTAAGCATGTAAAACAGCAAAGAGTCTCCAGAACCATGCAACACAGTGATGGCTATAACCAGTGTAGACCAGGTCAGGCATAATACATTATAATTGTCTAATACATTATAATTGGCTAAACGCTAGATCCTGCTTAGGTTAGAAATTCAATTAAAGGCGACGGCGTTTCACCTTAAGCTTACCATTAAACAATGAAGGATCTCCTGTAATGTTTTACTTGCTTCAGCAATCGATACCTTTATTTAAGTGTATTTAACAGGGCTCCCATGAAACATAATGATTGTGATCCTATGCATGATATTTTTTGGGGGAGTAATTCATTTGGAAAAATACTCTACATCTAATAATATAGCTAGATAAGAAGGGAATTGAACCAATATACATCATGCATTTTGTTGTTTTGGATTGAGCAAACAAAAACAATTGCATGTATAGGCTAATATGTGATCACGTTTAGGTTTTATCCAAATAAAATAATAAATTTACTTACAAAATTTGAGTAGTTGAGGTGTCCTATCCAAGACAGATTGAGGTAAAAGAGCGGGGGCTTTAGTCAGTAATATGTAACTGCTTAAATGGCACTGATGCACATCTTTGAAGCGTCTTCATGGAGATTACATTTCTGCTGTTCGTTGACAAGGCCGTTCATTCTGCTTCATTAACACATGTTGACGGCCATTCTCGGGAAGAGATCCAAACTCATCTTATTGACATCACAGCCTCTTCTGTGAAAAGAATGCAAGCTTTTAGGACAGAGGTTGACTTATGCTGATCTCAAGACAACTCTGCTCTGTAGTTATTACACTGATCTCAATCCAGCCTTCAAGAGTTTTGTTTATACTTCATCTGCTTCATTTGACATGGCATTGGATCATATGATGAGAATAGTTTACCTGAACAGAGTGTACTTTTTCTTGTCCAGCGTCACTGTCCCAGCTAACTGGGAACAGCTTCAGAAGACCATTCGGAATTTACATTCCTTAAATGCTACAAGGGATATACAGTAAAGAGATAGAAATCATTTAAAAATGAAAATATAGAAAGAAAGAAATTTCTGTCATTATTTACTCACTATTCGTTGTTCCAAACCAATTTGAGTTTCTTTCTTCTGTTGAACACAAAAGAAGATATTTTGAAGAATGTATCCATTGACTTCCACAGTAATTTCTTTCCTGTTATGGAAGTCAATGGGTACTATCAACCACCATTTTTTAAAGTATCTTCTTTTGTGTTCAACAGAAGAAAGAAACTCATAAAGGTTTACTATCACATGTAAATCATGCAGTCATTTTAATTTTGTGGTGAACTATCCCTTTAAATTTATGTTTTTGGATCATTCTTGTAACATTAATAAAAAAACATTCTTAGAACAACATTCTTGGAATGTCTATAGAATGTTAGTTGGTGAATGTTCTAATAATGTTGATAAAAAATTAATATAAACTATTAATCTAATGTGGATGGAATGTTCTAATAACATTAAATAACATTCTAAGAACATTAATAAAACTATGTTACTAATGTTACTAATGTTACATTGTGTAAAAAACTGGATGTTTTAAAAGTTCAGATAACCTAAAAAATGTAAGGTTATATAATAATATATTCTTTCCCAGTACTGGGTTGCGGCTGGTAGGGCATCAGCTGAGAAAAAAAAACATATGCTGGAATAGTTGGCGATTCATTCCACTGATAAATAAGGGACTGCATAAGGGAAGGAAAATTAATGAATGAAATATATATTACTGTATAATAATTCCTATTTCTTCAATGGGAATGTTAAGTGAATGTGTTTAAGAATCTAAAATTGTTAGCTGGGGTGCCCTGTAAGCAAATCAAGAGTCATAGAGACATGATTTATTGAGTGAAACCTGACTGACCTGCACAAAGTTCAGACCTGAAACCAATGTCAATGAATATGACTAATGGGTGTGTGTCAGAATGCATCACCTAACATCTCAGCCTGACCTTAGTGACGTTACAATGTCCTAATGGGACCAAATGCATTTATTTTACAAGCATAAAAGCAAACAAACGCATGTGACTTTCAGAGAGAGGGAGGGAGAAAAAGAAGTGCCCACATAAGTTTGGTTATGTATATTTTACAGTCTATGGTTATGTATCATGCAGGAAAATCTATGCAACATTTGTTACTTTCAAAATACAGTAAACATCTTTAAACAACAGGAGATAGTAAGAACCTTTAAAAGTAATTTAACCCTAAACCCCTTAAGGTAATCTCTTTACGGCTTTTTTCATTGAACATTTCAACTAGATTTGGGGGGCTTATCAAAAATCTCCTTATATAAATTTAGTATAATGATGGCATATAGATTTATGCATGCGTATATGTGTGTGTGTGTGTGTGTGTGTGTGTATACACTACACTTGTTTTTTTCTTCTCTTTTTTTTCAGCAAATCCAAAGTCATGTTTAATGAGAATTTGAAATATTTTATGGCATACTTCAAAAAATAAAGAGTTCAAAACTGTTTCATTTTGCCTATGTTTTTAAATAAACTGGTCTTACACTTTATATTTTCAGATTTTTCTTAGTATATGTATAAATCCCAGTACTTTTACCATATATTGACATAGCTACTATTTGGTCGAGGTTGATATTTTAGAAATTATGGGATTTGTTGAAAAAAAATTAAATGAGTGTGTTAACTAGCAACATTAGGGGTTAAGAAATGCAATCCAATTTTTTGTTTTTGTTTTTGTGGGGCAGTTAAAGTGTAAAAGCAAGAGTTTGGTCACCAAACATCTTTAATAATAGAAAGATAATTCATTTAAACTCAAATGAGTAATTGCAAAAAAATATATAATAGTACAAATTTCAATATTTCAACAATTTAAATTTTGTGATGTTTCTCTTGACTTTTTCAGTTTCTGAAAATTGTATTAAATGTTTTTTCAAAAATGTAAATTTTGGTGTACTATTTTTTGGACTATGATCTTTTTTGTTATATTAGTTTCAGTTTTGGCTTTGGTTCTGACTAATCTAATATAGACGCACAAATATATTACTGTAAAGCATCCCATAAAACATACTAATTTAAAAGAAAGATCTATACAATATTATATTTGTGCATTAGATTAGTCAGTACTGAAGCCAAATCTGGAGCTTATCTAACAAAATAACATACAACATTGGAAAATAACATACAACATTGGTTCAAAAACTAGTACACCCAAATTGATGTTATAGAAAAATATTAAATACAAATAAAAAAGAGGAAAAATCAAGGGAAGCTAAAAATGTTTTTAGTTTGAAACTTTGTAGTTTGTATTATTTTTTTATATTTTGCTTGAATCTAATTGTAATGTCTTCTTATTTCTAAATATATTTAGTGACTAAATTATTATTTTAATAAATATATCCGTTTAATAAATCTGTTTTGTTTAAATGCACCAAAATACATTAACAATAATCATTGAGAAATGGATAAAAAATAATCATTTTCAAAATAGGGTGTACTCAATTATGCTGAGCATGCACTGAATGTACTTACTTATGTATAGATACTTAGAAATATATAAGTAAATAACCTATTATTATTATAGTTTGTAGATTATAATATGGTACTTTTATTTTGTTATGTATAAATACATAATGTACATGCATACAAATAATATGAAATATTAATGCTTAATAATAGTGTGCAAGTATATGTAATTGATTTCCTTCGGCTTAGTCCCTTTATTCATCAGGGGTCGCCACAGCGGAATGAACCACCAACTTATCCAGCACATGTTTTACGCAGCGGATGTCCTTCCAGCTGCAACCCAGCACTAGGAAACACCCATGCACACTTATTTACACTCATATCCTACGACCAATGTAGTTTATTCAATTCACCTATAGTGCATGTCTTTAGACCGGAGAAACCGGAGCACCCGGAGGAAACCCAGCTGAACACGGAGAGAACATCAAAACTTGACACAGAAACGTCAACTGACCCAACTCAGGCAGAGCCAACAACCTTCTTTCTGTGAAGCGACAGAGCTAACCACTGAGCTACCGTGTCCCCCTTAATATAATTATAATAATTGAAATAAATAACATAACAGAACCTAATACCTTTTCCTCAAGAGCCATGCAGTGGTTTAGCATGTCTTCCACATCTCCCCCATCAACAGGCCATCTCTCCATTTCGACTGACAGTTTTAAACCTGTGAATGAAGACTGCATCTCAAAATACGGATGATGGTAAGGGAAGGAATGACGGTAGTAAAATGAGATTAATCTGACCTGTTTGGCTCCTGCTTTAAGACTAAATGTAGCATCCAGGGGGGTCAGAGTATAAATGAGCCACAATAACAGAACCATATATTAACCCTTTTCCTCTCTTCACAGAATTAATTCACTCTCGTTGTGCATAACCTGTGTGTATGTGTGTGTGTGAGTGTGTGTGTATGGCAGAAGCTTTATTGTATTATTAAAATCAGAGCGGTATGACAGGCAGAGGTATCAGACCTGTCCAGCATTTTAATACCAGTATGCGATAGATAGGCCATAAACACACAAAGTACATGTTGGAGGGCCTCAGCTATAAAACCCAGCATTGTCTAATTTATGGAACACACCAGCAGCAGCAACACAAGGTGATGTTTTACCCTTGCTTTCTGTCACTTTTGGATGGGGGCTGGGGGGTGAAGCTTTGGTTCCATTGTTCTCGTGGCACACAAACAGGTCGCTCACTAAAGTCTGACAGAAAATAGAAGCATCTTATTATGTGTTTTCATGGTTATGCAGTTATATTTTTACATAAAGAGACTCACACAGACTAGATGAAGAACCCAGGACTGCTCATCAGAGTTGCCGGATGTATGAATCTCAAGGGAAAAAACACAGTAAACAAATCAAGCGCTTGAGTAAAACTACATACACCATTTAAAATATTAGTCCAGTAAAAGCATTAAATGTACACTGTTAACAATGTTTCTAAATTACACAGTATTTAACCGTAATATGAACTGTATTTTACTGTAGGACATTTATGCATGTTACTGTATACTGAAGTTGCACTGTAAAAATTACAGTATTTTATACAATAAACAATACTGCAAATACATGTACAGCTAGATGAATGGTGCTGTAAATGTAAATACGGTATTTTCCCCGTAATTAATTTACAGTAAGCTACTGGCGAACTGCTGCCAGTAAGTTACTGATTCTACAGGAAATCAGTGAACAGTGTATTGTTCACACAACAATTATAATGAACTCACCTTCAGTATAGTTTGAAACTTTTTTTTTCTGTGTAACACAAAACAAGGGAACTTGTCTACCTCAGTGAACTTGGCCCCCAACCCAACACAAAACGTCAGCAAAATAGTCTCATTCGGTTGTGCTCCGTTTGTGCTGCAAAAATGTTTGTTTGTGCTGCGTTGGTTTTTCATTCATTCATTCATTTTCTTGTCGGCTTAGTGCCTTTATTAATCCGGGGTCGCCACAGCGGAATGAACCGCCAACTTATCCAGCACTTTTTTACGCAGCGGATGCCCTTCCAGCCGCAACCCATCTCTGGGAAACATCCACACACATTCATACTGCATGTCTTTGGACTGTGGGGGAAACCGGAGCACCCGGAGGAAACCCACGCGAACACAGGGAGAACATGCAAACTGCACACAGAAGCGCCAACTGAGGCGCCAACTGCGCCACTGCATCGCTGCGTTGGTTTTTTGAGACATTAAAATAATTTGTGTGGGTCATTCAGCGGTCACTAAGCGAATAGTCTCATTTGTTTGTGCCGGTTTCTGTTATTATAGTGATGTCCTCGCGCATGTGTAATTTTCCATGTGTAATATTTTAATAACAGAAACAGCACAAATGAAACTTTCACCGGCACAAGCGAAGTAAAAACAAACAAGATTATTTGGGGTAAATTAGAAGCATGTGGAGGGGGCTGTGTGACCGCTGAAGTTCCAAACCATACTGAGGATGAGTAAATTTTCATTTTTGTGTGAACTATATGTTCAACCCTCTCCAAACTGATATTAAACCGACGACCTTCCACATGGGAATCGGTTGCTCTACCAAGGAGGCTAAAAACCATGGCCTCTAGCGTCTGTCATTAGAGCACCTTTAGAGGTCAGAGGAGTGAGGTTTACCTGCACAGCACTTACTAGCTGGCCTCCGTTACACTCACCCCCCTAAACCTCACTCCCATCCGGGTCATGGCACCAAAGTAACCCTGCCAGTCCTATGCCACCCAAGCCACTCTAAGCTGGGATCGAATCGGCAACCTTCAGCATGTGAGTCAGTTGTTCTACCAAGGAGGCTTAAGACCATGGCCTCTAGCGTCTGTTGCTAGAGCGCCTTCATAGGTCAGAGGCATGAGGTTTACCTGCACTGCACTTACTGGCCTCAGTTACATATACACTGCTAACGATTTCCTGTAGAATCAGTAACTTACTGGCAGCAGTTCACCAGTAGCTTACAGTAAATCAATTACAGTGAAAATACTGTATTTACATTTTCAGCACCATTTATCTAGCTGTACATATATTTACAGTATTGTATGTCTTTATCATATAAAATACTGTCATTTTCACAGTGCAACTTTAAAATACAGTAACATACCGCATAAATGTCCTACAGTAAAATAGAGTTCATATTACAGTTAAATACTGTGTAATTTACAAACATTGTTAACAGTGTACCTTTAATGCTTTTACGGGAGTAATATTTTAAATCGTGTATCTGTAATTTTACTCAAGCTCTTGATTTGTTTACTGTTTCTTTTCCCCTGAGTTTCATACGTCCTGCAACTCCGATGAGAACCAAACACTAAAGTCCTGGACTCTTCATCCAGTCTTTGTGAGTCTTTCTACGTACAAATCAAACTTATAACAAATATGTTTGCAGCACAAACGAATGGGACTATTTTGTTGACGTTTTGTTTTGGGTGGGGGGCCAACTTTCACAGAGGTAACTTACGCCTATGGTAGGAGAAAACAATTATTATGGAAGTCAATGAGGACCAACAGTAGTTTGACTACCTAATGTCTTTAAAATATCTAATTTTGTGGTTGTCAGAAAACAAAAACTCATACAGGCTTGGAACAAGTGGAGGACGAGTAAATGATGACATAATACATTTTTTTGAGTGAACTATTTATTGATATACACTGAAAAAAATATTCATTTGAGTAACTAAAAAAGTAAGTTAAGTGGTTGCAAACAATCTACATAGGCTGAATTTAAACAAACAAATTAGGTTGAACATTACTAAATTTAATTTGTTTAAATTCAGCCCATATAAATTGTTTGCAACCACTTACTTTAAAAAATGTAGTAAATCCAATGAATCATTTCTTTCAGTGTACTCCTAGTCATTTTTACGTTAGTCAAAGTGCAAATATATTTGTTTTTATTGTATTTAATTTTTATAAATTATTTTATTACTTAAGTATTATTAGTACTTTTTAATATTTTATTTTATTTAGCAGGGGGAACATGCAACCTCCACACAGAAATGGCAACTGAGCAGAGGTTCGAACCAGCGGACGCCTCGTGACTGTCACATGTGGCATCAAAGTACCACGACAGCACTCTGAGATCAGACGATTGATTCTGCCAATGCAACATCTGAAGAGCGACTGCAGGACTGTATTCCTCTCATGCGTTTGTTATATATTTAATTCATAATTCCCTTGTTGTTTAAAAATGAACTATAGTTTGTTGTGTTCTGTTTTATATGTACTGTAAATGCCATGTGATCGGTCATCATGATTGCCGCAACTTATGATTTTTAAAAGACCTGTCACTTTAAATGTAGCAATTTAACTGGTAATCTTGTATATACACATCATTTGCCAAAAGCCTTCAGAGTGGTTATTTTCAAAAGTCACAGTTTTCAAATGCTCAACATTGTCAGCTCTCACAGCCCATCTAGTCGAGAAAAAACAAATGGGACAAGCCAACAGAGAAGTGGGACAAAAAGGCGGAGCTTTGATTTCCAGGAAAACCCTAAAGCTCAAGATCAAGTGATGGTGTCCTTCAGATGAGCCTGTAATCTGGAACACTTCAAACCCTTGTCTTTGGTTGTTCTTCTTCAGATCCGCTGTCCCTCGGGGTATCCACCCCCTCCCAGGGCACAGCCAACTTCCAAGTGTGTGAGGCAAGAGGCCTTGAAAGCCGATTGCGTTTTAATAAAGTTTATTATCGGGTGGGGGCTAATCCCCGTGGTAATCTCCCGCAGACCCAAAGGAAAGCAGGATTACTCACTTGCTATAATCCCAATGAAATTGTTAGGATTTAGCTAGCAAAAACAGAGCAGATGGCAACAGGCTTGTTCTTCTTCCACCCATGGGCCTGCTTGCCCCCTTCCCGCAGCACTTCTTAGCCCCAGACACCCTTAAACATAACACATCAGATCTTCAGTGAATAACCAATGTGGACATTGATAGGGTGAATGATACTCAGGCTGTGCAAATCAAAAGAACTCACCGTAGTCTAAAATAGTTTGGTTTGATTGAGAAATTCATTCATTCCTTTTCTTTTCAGCTTAATCCCTTTACTAATCTGGGGTCGCACAGCGGAATGAACTGCCAACTTAGCTTGCATATGTTTTACGCAGCGGATTTCAGCCACAACCCAAAATTAGGAAGCATCCACACACTCTTGCACACACTCACATACACTACGACCTATTTAGCTTATTCAATTCAACTATAGCTTATGTCTTCGGACTGTGAGGGAAACCCGAGCAGAGTGTGGTGTGGAGAGAGTGTGGAGTTTGCAGGGAGAACATGCAAACTCCACACAGAAATGCCAACTGACCCAGCCAAGGCTTGAACCAGCGACCTTCATGCCGTGAGGGAATTGTTCTACCCACTGTGCCACCGTGCTGCCCCTGATTAGGAAATGAGTGCACATAAAAGTAAACAACTGAAGGCTTGAAACACACTGCTAATCTTTGAAAATTAGGAATTCAGAAACACATTAAGCACTTGCCGACTTTGTAAATGGTTACTGATAAACCAGGAACTGTAACTTGTAACACTGCCAAACTCATCAAAAAGGTTTGAAATTGATTAACTACGACAACTCAAAATTTAGCGTCGACACAAATCTGGACAAACAATGTGAGAGAGCAAATTTTTTTTTTCAAGCTGGTCAAAAATAAATAAGGGTTTTCAGCCTGATCTCATGAGGAAACTCTAAAAGTATTCTCTAAAAGTGTGATGCAGTTTGTATTTTCTGAAAGCAAACACGCAAGCATGTGAACTAAAGATACTGTGGTATGTGTGTGTAAGATGAGTAAGCCTGCACAGGAGCAACACTATGAGAAAGCTATGCTGAAGATGAACTGAATATGTAAAATTACTGAATATGTAAAGCACTGATTATATATGTTAAACATTCATATGAAGCTATACAGCTGAAGTCAGAATAATTAGCCACCATTTGAATTTTTTTCTTTTTTAAATATTTCCCAAATTATGTTTAACAGAGCAAGGAAAAGTTCACAGTATGTCTGATAATATTGTTTTTTCTGGAAAAAGTCATATTTTTTATTTCGGCTAGCATAAAAGCAGTTTTAATTTTTTTAAAAATCACTTTAGGATCAAATTTATTAGCCCCTTTAAGCTGTATTTTTTCTGATAGTCTACAGAACAAACCATAGTTATACAATAACTTGCCTAATTAACCTAGTTAAGTCTTTAAATGTCACTTTAAGCTGTATTGAAGTGTCTTAAAAAATATCTATTAAAATATTATTGCTGTCATCATGGCAAAGATAAAAGAAATCAGTTATTAGAAATGAGTTATTAAAACTATTACGTTTAGAAATGTGTTAAATATTCTCTGCGTTAAAACAGAAATTGGGAGAAAAATAAACAGGGGGGCGAATAATTCTGACTTTAACTGTATGTGTAAGAGGCTTTCAGGAGAGTGATGATATATTAAGTTAAGATATAAACATATAACCATATACTAAAAGAATTTAGCAAAGGCAACACTGAAATGTAGACCTGAGCGAGCAGGGCTGAGAGCCAAGAATTAAAGGAGCACCTAAACCAAAGATACTAGAATACACAAGACATGTCACTTGTGTAGTTTTGAATGGGGGAAAGTGTAACAGTCAATATGGCGAATGATCTCTGCCTTCTAGTACAGGAGCCAATCATCGATCGCTATAAACTCACAATTCTCTGGGGGAGGGGCTCGGACCAGAAGTGAGTTTCTGCAGATTTTGCGTTATTCAAACGTTTAGAAATGAAACTAATGAGACAGTTTTTGTTTAATTTGATTGGTGATTCCTAATATGAAATTTAATCGTAAGCTTGGCTAGCAACTTTGCAGAATTTGATGTTTCTCCAGTCAAACAGAACGCCCGAGCATACTGCCCGAGAGGCATTTCAAATATGGCTGCCGAGTGAAAAGACTTGCCTCAAAGAGACTTTGCCTAAACAAGTACTTGACCTTTCCGTAAAGTAAAACCTCAAAGTTAGTCAGAGTTAATATGAGAATACACACAGGTTGGGCAGAAATCTGTATAAAAGCAGGATCATGGACACATACAATTCAGATGGTCTAGGAGAGACTTTAGGTTGTGCTGAAGAGCTTTTCAGACATCTCGGCTTTATTATGTTCTAATAAAGTCTATTTTCTGGTATCCAAATCCTCCAGTCTGATCGTGTTTAATTTATGGAAAGGTTCATTCATACGAAAATCATTGGGGGACAAACAAATTGCATTGAATTGTACAAATGAGTTCATTTGAATTCATACGAATTAGCCACTAAATCCAAAAGTTACGAATTGCTGTAAGATTGTGTTGTAGTTTAAAGCATTTTAAAGAGATTTTAAATGTTAAATCACCTCTTTAAACCTGTAGGATAAGGCAATCTCACAACAATTTGTAACTTTTTGATTTAATGGCTAATTCGTATGAATTTGTACAATCTAATTCGTATAATTAAGTACGCTTTGCTCATCCCCCAATGATGGTTGGGTTTAAGGTCGGGGTTGAGTGCCATGCCTCCTTCTTGAAAACGTACATGTTCATTGCGACTGAAATCGTAGGAAATAGCCACTAAACTGACAAAACATCAAATACTTACGTTTTCTCATGAGATCAGGCCGCTAGGACGCACACACACACACTTTTACTCTCCTTACGCACCAAACACCTTCTTATACTTTTCTGGGTAAACAATGTGCATTTCTGAGAGCGCTTCACACATGTGTGGGCTTGACACACTCTTTACTCTCCATATGCACCAGACACTTTCCTACAAACACTCAGTTACAACAAAGACTTCATTATTTGTATTTAACAGCTAAACTAACTTAGACTTATGCGCTTCTTTTATCCTCATATGCATGTCGCTTTGGATAAAAGCATCTGCTAAATTAATAAATATAAACCCAAGCGTAAACTTGGCGGCACAGTGGGTAGCGATGTCACCTCACAGCAAGAAGGTCGCTGGTTTGAGCCTTGGCTGGGTCAGCTGGTATTTCTGTGTGGAGTTTACATGTTCTACTCGTGTTTGCGTGGGTTTTCTTTGGGTGGTCCGGTTTCCCCCAAAGTCCAAAGACATGTGCCATAGGTAAATTGGGTAAGCTAAATTGTCCACAGTGTATGAGTGTGAATGAGTGTGTATGGGTGTTTCCCAGTGATGGGTTGCAGCTGGAGGAATATCCGCTGCGTAAAACATATGCTGGATAAGTTTCATTCCGAAGTTTCATGATTCATTCTGCTGTGGCGACCCCTGATTAATAAAGGGATTAAGCCAAAAAGAAAATTAATGTGAACTTAACATGCAGGCAACAAAATGGTCTTATGTCTCTGTCTATGGTGTGATGGTAATATTACTTTTAGCAAAAAAAGAGGAAACCAAACACGGGAGATGCCAAAATGTTGCTATGGCTACTATGATTTCAGCCATAAGCGATTGTCATTAAAACACTAACTCTATAGGTTTTAAAGGCACAGGAATTTTAAAAAGTTGTCAACAAGGCTTGTCATGCCAGAAAACACAACTGGAGTAAAACAAACAAACAAACAAACAAACAAAACAATGTTTTTAAAAAAAATAATTTTAATCAGGTTTCACCCAGCAAATCACTCCATTTCAGTGAGAAAGTGAGAGAGTTGCTCTTGTTGGTTGTTAATGCGTACCAAAGGAGCACAAAGTGCAACATATGTGACTCCTTTCATCTTTTAAAATATCGATCTGAAACAAAATGGGAAAATATCCAATATTGAAGGCACAGTAAATGGACAGGCAGTAAGAGTGAAATGGATCAACACACACAGAGAGATGTGGGGTGTGTTTGTATTATCATTACCAGAATTGGGCTCCAATATTGATGCACTTTGAGTGTTTTAATTGGTACCTAAAAACAAGTGGCATGTCTTTGTGATAGATCATTTCCTAAATCTAAACCATGTTTTATCAATACTGCTGCATATAATTAAAAAGAAAAGTAAAATCAGAGCTGAAGCATGGGCATGTGCAGGGCACCATCACATTAAAAACAGTACCGCAATTGCTTAAAAATTCCCATGCATTACTTTGGTACCACTTTACAATATGGTTATATTAGCAACGTATCTACTAACAAGAACAAACCATGAACAATACATTCATTACAGTATTCATTCATCTTTATTAACATTAGCTAATGGAAATAAAGCTGTTCGTTGTTAGTTCACTTTAACTCACAATGTGCACTAACTAATGTTAACAAGCATTTGGATTTTCACAATGCATTGGTAAATGCTGAATAAATGCTGTACAGGTATTGTTCATTATGAGATCCTGTTAGTAAATACATCAAGCATAATTAAACAATATTGTAAAGTGTGACCATTACTTTGGCATTGAAGCTGACGATTTCTCTAGGAGCCAGATATTTGTGAGATTTGGCCATTCCTTTTAGAATCCAAAGTCTATGCAACGGCAATGCCTTAAGGTAGAGACACTTTAGCACTTCGCAGCTTTATCCTCAGTTTAAAATACATGTACATGGCGAGCAAGCACATGGTGGACAGGAGGTACAGTAGGACACACAGGCTCACATCCAGTCTGGAGAACCCCACACTGAGCAGGGACATCCAGTGCTTGCTTTGGGCTCTGGGGTATGGCTCTATTCCGAAATTCTCTTCCTGGCTTCCCAAGTCTCTCTTCACCCTCCAACCTCCTTCAAACTGCAGGTCTTCCACGTCCTCCTTCTTCTGCAGGCTCCTCCGCCGCACTACACCAGACATGGCGGCGGCTCGAAGGGCTTTGGCTTTATAATGTTGGCTGACGAAGTAATCCAGATCTACTATGTCCTCCTGAGCCTCCCGGAGCTTCATCCCCACAATTTTTGGCTTGCGTTGAGATGATAAAGGCTGTGGTTTCTCCCATGGTGCCTGGTCTGCTCCGGGTGCTCCCTCTAATCCCGCAGGATACGGCTCAACTGCCTGCTCCTCAAATGTTGGTTCCTCTTCCTCCTCCTCCTCCTCTTCTTCCTGAGGCTCATCAGCAGGATTGTTGTCGAAAATGTCTCGTGCTCTCCTGTCTGCCCCGCGTCCAGCTTCTTTCTCCATGCGGGCGGCTGTGAGGCGGTTTCTCTGCTGGATGAGGGCCTGGGTCTCGTCCTGCAGGTAGTCGTTCAGAATGCGAGATGAGGAAAAGTAGTTCTGGAGGAACTGCGGCACCTCATCTTTGATCCAGTTGTGATCTCCGATAATTGTTACCCCATGACAGGAAGGACACAATTCTGGGGAGGGCCACTGAATCTTAGGGAAATGGGGGTCCTCGCTGAGGTCTCCTGTGTGGGATAAGAGACAGTCGAAGCAAAAGTTTTATAATTTTATAAACAATCAAGGAAGGAAACCAAATCAAACAATTGACAATTAATCTTTCATTTTTTTACATCTGCAAAAGTAATGACTGATAAAAAAACTACATTGTTTTACATGTTTTACTTAAGGGATGCAAAATGTATGTGAGGGAAAAGGTTGTGAACAATGATTTTGTGCCTTTCTGTAAGGTAATCACTAGGTGAATATTTCATGAGGTGTAACCTAAATATTTCACATAATTATTTTAGCGCCAAGAAAATGTAATCTATTTTAAAAAAATCCTTATTATTATTAATAACCATTATATTATTAGACTGAAAACTATTTATCTCACACATTTATGTTTAAATGTGAAGAATGCATTGTTCTGGTTCACAAGCTTATGCCTAATTACAAGTGTCGAATGTCACTTAACCCTGGGGTTAAAATTGGCTTTAGTCTAATTTAACAAAAAGATTAATTATTTAACTCTGGTTAAGTTACGCATGTAACAAGCCAATGAGTTCGGGTTTATCACTTATGTTGACGGCCTAACACACACATTACAAAAAACTCCCCATATCCAGGAATGTTCTATATAGCCTAATATATAACCACAATATTATCGTTAAGATAGTGTCTGGACACAATATATTGTGGATTAAAGCAGTGTAATGCATATTAAAGGTGCAGTATGTGATCTGCCTGAATACGAACCGGTTAGCATAATATGTATAAATATGCCATACCTCGTGAAATCACAAATGCGCTCATTAAAGATGACAGAGACCCACTAGATCATGTCATTCGCCAGTTAGAAAACTTTACTTTATAATACTACAATTCTGAACGAAAAACTATTCTATTTAGCACAATTTCACTTGTGTAGCAAGCAAAACTTGTCATAATGTGTATATTTCATGCATGTAAGGATCGCGGGTCTCACTCTCTCACACGCTGTCCTAAAGCCACTACTGTATGCTTAGTGGTTGGCCGGCAGCATGCACGAATTACACTTATTACTAAACCATACTTACATGCTAATTTAGACCGAATATTCACAGTAGCTTGGTAAACAATATAGGGAGCACAGGCTGTCATTGTTCAAAAATGAACCAATGTGAATGTAAAACCTCAGTAAAGTTCAGCTCAGTAAAGCAGGCTAGGTGGAATAGCACTATTTACTGATGTTTTGTTGTTAAACTAAATAAAGATCTAAATTATTGATGCTGTAAAAGGACCTAATGAAATTGAAAAAAGTCACATTAAGCTTCGCCAGAGGATTTCAGTATAGCTGAACAACACTTCTGTGCATATAACCCATTCATAAAACAACACAATCTACACATCAGCTTTGCCTGACTAAAAGAGTTCTAAGACATAACATTACCTGTCTAACAGAAATACTTCAGCCATGGTGTCATCCTTCCTCCAGTGTGCCAGAGTAACTCCAATATTGATTCAGGATTTTTTAAAAGTTTTGATTCAGCATTTGTTTTTACCGCTGTCTGCACATGAACTAGCAGCACACGTGAACATGCTAATGGCGGATTTGCCTGAACAGAGATGTGCAAATGTACAAATCTAAATTTGCTGACAGACATTTTGGGTTACTTATAAAAATGATGGGAATTAACGGCCAACAATTTTCACCTTGATAAACATTTTTTAGTCTTATGCCTTACCCAGAATATAAAAATACGCATAAATACATTTAGATCATTTACTTTAATCATTACTATTGGATTGTGAAGAGACTTTCAACCAGCACAACAAAAAATGTTTCTGAAGACAATCACCTACTGCACCTTTAATTTATACTGCATATGTAAAAAACAACTGTGCATAACTTGGAGTAAAAAATGGAGTAACACAGAATTCAGAATTTCTCTCGCGATTCCTCTTCCTGTCATTCAAAACTCAGAATTTCGTCCAACCTTGAGGTGCAGTGTGAACTGTGTGTGTGTGTGACAGGTCTAAAGACAAGATCAATAGGCCTGTGGTCTCTCCCAGAGGGAGGATCGTGAAGATAATAGATGAGGTTGGGGTGAACGAGACGCCCCTCTCCCTGTCCACATGCGCACGCACCGGCCTCTCCTCTTCACACCCCCTACCAACATGCCACCATCTCCAAATTGAACATGAAAGCCAGCACCTCTGGGCTGCAGCTTTCCCTCTAATGAATTACTATTTTTTCCCTTCAGATGTTTTCTGTTCCACCTCCCCCCAAACGGCACCCCAGACTGAGGCATCCGCTAATAAATTGCTTGTGGCGGGTGTCACGGGGCGGCCAGGACACTACATGAGGTGGCAGCGGCGCTTAGCTTCCATCCCTCCCCCATCTCTTACGTAGATTAATCTGATGTATATATGCATGTGTGGACGTACTCTGCATAACGCACTTTACATAAGAGATACATCAATTTTACTATGTGTCTACAGGAGTCCAGGGGTCTTTGTGACAGCACTCATATCTGGCGCTGATGTGATGCAATGCCTGTGAAGATCTTATTTCTAATCATGGAGCCTTTCAGGACAGAGGTGACTTCAGCTGGGGTGTCGTTAACATTGATACAAAAGCTGGCAGGACCGTGCATTAATATTCATGCGTGTGAATGGAGCTGGAGCTGTCATGCGGGACAGTTCCAGTAAGTGTGAGTGAACTCAAGTGCCGATGAGTGGGCAGGGTTCAGATGAAGGGAGGACTGACTAAACAAATGCAAAACTAACATGTAGGCTAATCCTGTTTCAAGAGTGCTGTAGAATAGGGGAGGTGGAATAGAAGAAATTGGAGCAAGAGGTATGTTTGAGATGCTACTTGTACTGGAGAGGAATGAGATGTTGTTTAGCACTTGATTAGATGTTGATTACCCCTATGAAAGCTGCATACCCAGCAGGATTTCACAATGCAATATACTTGATTTTAAAAGGCAATCAGTGACATTTAAAAAAAAAAAAACTAATATACATTCTTAGTATAACCATGCATTTTAACAAGTATTATTCTAGTGACCTAAATTTAATTCCTGAACACCTTAGGAAATGTATAGCAACACCCTAGCCATATATATTTACACTAGATGTCGCCTACGCTTTGTTGTCTATTGGAAGGAATGCGTCAATAGAGCCGCCATTTTAATATAGGGTAGCGCTCCTTTGAAATGAATGTGGGACCAAGGTGTAGTGGAGAACTGGCTATCGGGAGCAATAGATATGTAAACATTTATACATATATCTATGATCGGAAGTTTTATGACCCAGTGGTCTGCATGCAAATACCTTTTTAAATTATGATGATTACAATTTTACATTACTTTTCAACATCGATGGATAAGTGATCACACAGGCATTGTAGACAAAGAGCATGTGTTTGTGTGCATGGAAATGTATCATCTGGCCTCTCTGTTAAATTTGATCCAATCCATGTCCTCAACACACCCCCTCTCCTGCTTTCACTTCTAATTATGGAGGGAGTGATTGGTTTGTGAATGAATCTCCGTTATGAACAACTCGTGTGAACCATCAATATCCCTGCGTCTCAATGTGCATATCCACCTTTCTGATCTAAATAGTATAAAACATTTTTAATATCTAATAATTTAGAGTAGACAGTAAGCACATTAGTGCTAAAGCACATAGTGCAAGTTGTTTGCTATTTTGGCTTAGGGTCAGTGCAGTAAGTGACTGTATTATCATCAATATCGTTACTTGTTGAGCACAAAAGTTCGTAAAATCCAAAAACATAAAAAGAGAAATTTTACCTTTTGAAATGTTCTGCATTTATGATTTGACCATTACTACACACAGTGTTACAGTCCAGCATCTTCAGATTGGCTTTAGTCTCGACTAGAATGACTTTTGTCCCGGGAGCACTGTACAAATGTGTTAAAAAGTTGCCAAAACTACAGTAACTGCTTAAAACTGACTAGAACAATGAAGTAAGCAGCAACAACACAGCAACTCATTAAAACTTCCCTGAACCTTTTAGCAACCCTTACATACTAGCAACCACACAAAACACCCCAGCAAGTAGAAAGCACAAAGCATCTTATTCATAACCTTAGCAACACCTTAGCAACAACATAAAACCATGCACCAAGCCACAAAATGGCTCAATGAACACTTTGTGGACACCTTAACACTCCCCTAACAACAACACAAAACATCCACCCAGCAACAAATCAACGAATTACATCCATCTTTCCTAAACACTTTAGGAACAGCATACCAACTCCTTAGCAACAACACAGAACTCTCTAGCATCTAGAAAATCAACTCATTATACACATCCTTCCTAAACACATTAGCAACAGCAAAGCAACACCGTAACAACAACACAGAAAAACTCCCTTGCGCCAAGCAACAATTCAACTAATTAAAAACCTGCCTTGTAAACTGCACAAAGCCTCTAAGCAACCACACAAAACACCCAAACAATGTGTCAATTTAAAATTTCTTTAAGAAAACAACATTTTAAAAAAGGCAAAATAAAAATAATAGACAAAATAAACATGAATCACAAAAGCACATCACGTGTGTAATTATACAAGTGTTGCCCTGAGATCATATGTGGCATATGGCCATAATACAGACCTGGACATTTTGCAGCCCACTGGACTTCTTTGATTGGCCCGCGTGAAGTATTTATTTAGTTTAAATTCAACCCTAAACAGGGCCTTGCAATACGCAGGTCTGATATTGCAAGTCAACAAAAGGAGCTTTAACATATTGGGCCCTATCATACACCCGGTGCAATGCGCGGCGCAATAGTCTTTTGCTACTTTAAGCTTGGCGCAAGGGTCATTTTGAGGTGTTGCGCCACACTGTTTAAATGGCAAATGCATTTGCGCTCAAATGTGCGCCCATGGGCGTTCTGGTATAAAAAAGCAGGCGTGTTTTGGTGCATTGCTATTTTGAGAAACTGTAAACAGTCTGTTCTTTAGACCAGAACAAAGTCGGTCTATTGTCTGGCGCAAAGTGCGCCTGGCTTACACACTACACACAAGATGTAGAGCAATACGCAAATATCTTTACATATGAAAAATATATAATATCTTAAAGATATACATAATAAGGATATATATATAGGATATAAATATAAATGATTAAAATATTACAAAACATATTAATTTCTAGCCTACATGAATTTAAAAACCACTGCCTTCATACTTTCTTCATCTCTGGAAGCTTTTTCAGTTCATTCAATTTGCTTTTGTATAATGTTATTATTATTAGCAGTATTATTTATTATATCCATATTTATATTTGTTTAATTAAAAACAAGCTTAGATTTGTCCACCTGTCAGGTTTTAGACCATATGGGGCATAGCAGGTGTATTTGGAAATAATAATAATATTTTGACCACACTTTGTTATTATTAATCATTTATTCGTTTGCTGGAAATTAGAACTGAATTTAGAAATAGTTTTGAAACAAATCTTTGCACTTAACAAATGAAATTAATTATTTATAGCCTAATTGATGTCTGTGCGGTAAGGTTTCCCTATCCACGAGAGCAAAAGCGAACGTGAACTTACTTCATGTAAATAGCAATGTGCTTATGGCGCGGCGCAGCTGGCTCTTAAAGTTAATGGGAGATGAGACTCTGATTGGTTTATTCTCAAAACCTATAACTCATTAAGAAACTAAACTCAACCTTTTTAGACTATGCGCCATGGCGCAAAGCGGATTTTCCCGTCCTTAAGTTAGCAAAAATGCATTCTGACATGCCCTGAAAGCGTTTGCGCCCTGCGTTTTGCGCTCTGCGGATGGACTGTCAAAATAGAGCCTATAGTGTCTTTTGTGCGCTCAGTTTCTATATTTCATATGGGGACAGAAGGGATGCATATGTGGTATGTCATGCTCACATTTTCCAGGTACCGCGAGTTATAAAAAAAAAATGTAAACAATTCAGAGTGCCGTGATGGAACCACGAGTCATGTGACAGGAACCAACCAGGCAGCTTCACACTTTGTTACATCCCTGATGTTAAATGTCTAGGACACAGTAATAAAGGTAGACTAATTACCTCAGATTAATGATTTAACAAATCCAGATACAGATCTTCTCTGAGTGATGATCCTTACATTACATATCCACCTCACATTCAACCTGACTACAGTGCACTTGTTCAGCCCAACACAGGCTATAAATTCTTTCACTGAACAAGAACAATATATAAATGAATGAATGAATGAATAAATAAATAATATTAAAAATGTATTTAGGGTGAAGCATTGAATCAAACAACCCAGTGGCATTTATATGAAGGTAATATTGTGATGTGTTTACTGTGTGTAAAATGTTTTTTTTTTTTTTTTTTTTTTTTTTTTTTACTTTAGAGCTTTTATTGTATTGGTCTAGCCCCCTTAAAACTGTCCCAGAGTCTAATGTGGCCCCTTGAAAAAATTAATTGCCCACCCTTGCCATAATGCATGCCATTTAAAACCCCTGTAGGCAATGTACATCACAGTATGCAGTACACAAAGACAGAAAAGGCAGAGCAACTGAAAAAAAGCTGGCTTTTAAAAGCTAAATGTATTTGCCTCCCACCTACAGACATTTCTTCCCTCGACAAGTGGCTGAGGCTTGTTGCTTTTGCCTTCATGCCAGTTAAATTAATTGTGCAGCAGTGATACTAATAGGCCACTATTCATGCCTGGTTAGCTCTGCGTGTGTGTGTGTGAGAGAGAGAGAGAGAGAGAGAGAGAGAGATAGAGCGAGAGAGAGAGAGGGGAGGGAAGTACTAAAGAGGCTCACAATCAGGAGGAGGAGGAGGGTTTCTCTTGGGAACTGGGAGGAATAAAGGGTGTCTGAGGGTAGGAGGACACACACACACACACACACACACACACACACACACACACACACACACACACACACACACACACACACACACACACACACACACACATACATACATACACATACACACACACACACACACACACACACACACACACAGTTAGCCACTTGGGCCAGAGATTACAAAGCAGAGGAAGGCTTGATGCGGGCGGCGTGGCGTGTGCCACCTGCTGTCCCGGGGTGTCTTGGGAATAAAGGGCCTCGTGCTTCAGCCAGGAGACACTGTTGCTGTATCAATTGTCAAGCAGCAGGAACGACCCTCCCGGGACCAGGGAGACAGTAAGACCTAATCAGCAGGAGTGACAGGGGACAAGGCGACACAGTGGAGTCATGGGGGACAAGCATGGGGGACTTTTGTCCAATTATTCATGACTTCATGGCTGGTAAAAAAAAAAAAAAAAAAGAAAGCACAGACGCTAAAGAGGCACGAGACATCAAAAGAGGACAAACAAATGAATTAGGCAAGTGTGAAGAGAGGCAACTAACTCCCTTTATAGCCCTTATGGACCACAGCAATGCAGGTCGAGACATAACTACGATTTTAATTTAGGAAATGTCAATTGAGTAGCTAGTTCTTTGCAGTCACTTTTACTTAGAAATACTTTGAAATAAAAAAAAAACCGTAAAAACATCTCACACTGTACAAAAAAATCTATTTGTGTTGACAGCATGAAAGAATTAAGTTAACTTATTAGTTTTTTACAAATTGAAGTTTATTGAACACGAAACAATTAAGTTGTCCCCCCCCAAATCTCAAGAATTGTGTTGTTTCACCACTTTAGCTGTAAATTAAAGAACTAAATTGGGAGTAATAAAAGGTGTGACAAATAAAAAAAGAATAGATAAAAGTGTAGGGAGGGAGAGAGAGAGAGAGAGAGAGAGAGAGAGAGAGAGAGAAATAGAGAGAAATAGAGAGATAGACAGATAGTACAGAACAGGACAGCTGGTGTCTGCCCAGAGGATCGCCGAATTAAAGGGATTTAAAGGGAAGAAGCTGCACTGGTGCTCTGGAGAGGGAAAATCCTCCAAAAAAACCCTCCCAAACTCCTGGTGTGCCCTCTTCTTTTCTCCTGCTCCAGACACAAGTGACTGGCCTCAGAAGTTTTTAGATGCACTTAAAACTAAATCACGAGTAAAGTAACGCATTATGTAAAATATTAAGTAATGATATTTGAGTTTCTTTTTTAAAAACGTAACTCAAGTTACTTTTTAGATTAATTAATTTGCTTTTAAAAAAATAGTTTGCTAAATTAAAATTAGAGTAATCACGTTGAATCACACTTAATGAGAGAATCCACCAGAACATACAAAAACCTAAATAACAGAACCTTACAATTCTGTGATGGAAGTATTCTCATTATTTTGAACACATGGAATAAGTAATAATAAATAAAAAATAAAATAGTAGCAAACACATTGCTTTTAACTTTCATTGGTTTGTATATAGGGCATGTATAGAAAGTTGTCAGATGGTAACATTATTCAAAAATGTTTAAAGGTAAATGAAGGTTGTAAAGTGTGTCGTTAATTGCAAAGCTTCTCTATTCAAAAAAGAAAAATAGCCTGCACAGATATACTGAGCAAAAATAACTTTCTAGAATAATGAACAGTGTATGAAACAAATAAAACATGAAATCAAAAAATAAAATCACTAAAAAATACAAAAATAAATCACAAAAAAATATATATATATATTGTTATAGTGTAATCGTGATTAAATCACTTCCAAAAGAAAAAGTTTGTTTTGACACAATATATGTGTGTATTGCATATTTGTATTATGCATATGTAACACAAACATACATAAGAACAAAACCATAATAAAAATTGTTACATAGATATTTACATTTGTACATAATTTCTATCATATACATCTATTGATCCACTAATTCATTTTCCTTCAGCTTAGTCCCTTTATTCATCAGGGGTCGCCACAGCGGAATGAACGCCAACTTATCCAGCATATGTTTTACACAGCGGATGCCTTTCCAGCTGCAACCCAGTACTGGGAAACATCCATACACACTCATTCACACTAATACACTAAGGACAATTTAGTTTATTCAATTCACCTATAGCACATGTCTTTGGACTGTGGGGAAACCGGAGCACTAGCAGAAAACCCACATGAACAGAGGGAGAACAAGCAAACTCAACACAGAAATGCCAACTGACCCAGCCGAAACTTAAACCAGCAACCTCCTTGCTGTGAGGTGACTGCTAACCACTGAGCCATTGTGTCGCCCATATACATATATACTGTATATATATTATCTCTAAATACAATTAAGCATTTTCTTAAATATATGCATGCATGCGTGTTTATATTTACACACATAATAAATTTATACAGTACACACACACACACATGTCAAAACAAACTATTATTTTGGATACAATTGATTGTGATTAATCTCTGCGTTAAAAATATATAAAAATTGAACAATAATGACTTCAGTTGCAAAAATAACTCAAAACTTCTGTAAATTTAATTGCTTTGAATTTTAAAAGGATAGTTCACCCCAATGTGAAAATGTCCTCACTATTTACACTCTATACCCCTGTAGTTATAAACTTTTATGAATTTCTTTCTTCTCTTGAACGCTGTAGATATAAAGAAGAATGTTAGAAGCCAGCAGGACCATTGACATTCATAATATGATAAAAAATACAAAGGAAGTTAATTGCTGCTGTTTTCCATCATTCTTCAAATTATCTTTTTTTTAATTGAACATAAGAAAGAAACAAAATAAGCTTAAATCAAGAGGAGGACATTATGTTGACAATTTAAATTTTAGGGTGAACATATCTCTTTAAGTGACATTTAAAAAATACTGTGCAAATACTGCTTTGGGCTGCTGGTGTGTTAGTCATGTGTGTTTAACACTTCAAATTTGTTTGCACTGAAAATACTGACCTGCCAGGCGGTTGTTGACTCGGTTGTGGCGTGACCACAACCAAATGACAGCGCCAGACAGCGAGTTGACCTGATCCATGCTCTCCGCGGCCATAGCCTCAAAGTGAGTTGCGCACGGCCTGCAACCGAAAAAACTGCTGACGTAACCTCTCATAGCCAGCAGCACTTCCTGAGGCTCTGAGACTAACACACAGAAAAGAGGAAATGGACAAAAAAGAGAGAGAGAGAAAAAAAGAGGAAGATAAATGAAAATGCTATTAAAGAAGCAATGTTTTTGGATGCATAAAAAACATAAAACATTCAATGACTTCATATATTTCAGTAAAGGAATGTCATTGTAGGGGTGTGCAGTATTTATAGTCTATGATAATCTTGGAACTGTTTTTGTTTTTTATTCCATTATTATTTTATAACCATTATCAAGTATGTCACTCACTTTGCAACAAACAATACATTTTGAATTAAAAAGTATTAACCTATACTTATTGTTGAAGTAAAAAAATATCAGTTTCTTCTTTAAATTTGCAAGATATGATGCATGTATAGTTAAAGTCAAAATTATAAGCCCTCACGATTTTTCTTTTTTCAAATATTTCCCAAAAGATGTGTAAAAGCAAGTTTTTTTTTTCTTTTTTTAAACAGTATTTTCTACTGGAGAAAGTCTTATTTGTTTTATTTCAACTAGAATAAAAGCAGTTTTAAATTTTTAAGCCTTTAAATGTCACTTTAAGCTGAATATTGTCAATATGTACTGTCATCATGGCAAAAATTTAATTAATCAGTTATTAGAAATGAGTTATTACAACTGTTTAGAAATCTGTTGACAAAAAAAATCTTCTGAAAACAGAAATTGGGGAAAAATATACAGGGTTAATAATTTATGATGGTTAATAATTCTGACTTCAACTGTATATAGATTTATAGATTTTAACATTCTAACAAATAAGAAGTAAATATTCTGTAATTCACACTTTTAGACACAACAATGTAAATTTTTATCAGTGAAAAATTTTTTTAAATAAACTATATTGGAGCAACAATTTGTTTCTAAAGAAATGACATTAAATGAATCAAGAAAGCAGATGATTCAATGATCCATACACAGTTGCTGTTTCTCAAAATGCATTCTTCATGCGTCCTCAGGTTCTCGGGTAACGTCATCATCAAGACCGCAAGAACGGAAGACGCGTAAAAGTTCCAGGATGTGTTCTTGATATCGAGAATGCATCAATGCAGACTTGAGTGCAAAACTCGCTGGAGAGATCTGAGAAGTCATTACGGCCGAATAAAGGCGGTGGGAAGTGCAGCATTTTACATTTACATTTAGTGATTTTATATATATATTATTAAAGTTCAGAGATATAACTTATTTGTCTCAGGAGTTTCCCTAAATGAAATGGATGAAAGTAAACATTAATATGAAAATCTTAATAAAGTCATAAACACATTAAGAGTGTTTATTTGCTAAAGTTTAAAAAATTGTTTTAAAATCATTTTAAAATCTGTTTTATTTGTATTGTGCAACGTATATTTGTAAAATCTTTATACATAGTACGTATTGTGAAAAGAGGAAAAACAATACATCGTTGTATCAATGCTGTAATGTTTAAATAGTTTCCTGTTAAAAACGCATAAAGGTCACGTGACCATCAGGAGGAACCAGAGAAGAACGCAGCATCTCATTTCTCACAGGACGCATTCTCTGTTTGCGGTCTCTTGAGTTCATTCTTTCGAGGTTACTTGGCAAGACCGGTCTCCACACGAACGCAAGCCTGTTCTCTGCGTTCTTGGATTTGGGAATTGAATCAACCATTTTGAACAAATCGATTGAAAAAATTATGCAATGAATCAATCAATACGAAGCATTGCTGCCACCTACTGACAGTTTTACAGTCATATTTATAAGCACAACACAATATGCAGGGCCTACACCTAAAATTATGTTTTGGCTGTAACACTACTCATAAATAAGCCAAGGTGTTTAATTAATTTAATGGAAATATAAAAATATACTGATATATTATTGGTCATTTTCACTGTAGTGTACAATAAATATAAAAAATTGTTAACTAGGCATAATTCCACAATTATGTTATAAATAACCATCCAAAAAACATTATGTAATCATAAATAGTACATTTTATAATAGTATTATATTACAATATAAAAAATACCATGGAATACAACAACAATAATAGAAATTATAAGAGTATATACACTAGTATTTAATATATAATAATAATAATAATAATATCATAATATAATTCTATAATAAATAAATTATTATATAAAAAATAAGAGTATATATAATAAGATTTAATATAAAATAATAATAAAAAGAACAATAACATTATATCATAATACAATTTTATACATAATATAATGCAATATAATAAAGTTATGGGCGACGCAGTGGCGCAGTAGGTAGTGCTGTTGCCTCAAAGCAAGAAGGTTGCTGGTTCGAGTCTCGGCTGGGTCAGTTGGCATTTCTGTGTGGAGTTTGCATGTTCTCCCTGCGTTCATGTGGGGTTCCTCCGAGTGCTCCGGTTTCCCCCAGAGTCCAAAGACATGCAGTACAGTTGAATTGGGTAGGCTAAATTGTCCATAGTGTACGAGTGTGTGTGTGTTTGGGGATGTTTCCCAGAAAGGGGTTGCAGCTGGAAGGGCATCTATATTATAATAATAATATAATATAATAATAATATAATATAATATAATATAATATAATATAATATAATATAATATAATATAATATAATATAATATAATACGATAATATAAAATAATAATATAATATAATATAATATAATATAATATAATATAATATAATATAATATAATATAATATAATATAATATAATATAATAATATAATATAATATAAAATATAATAAAAAATAGTTTTCTAATGCATCAAAACTCCAAACTTTAGCAGCTTGCTAATAGACACAAACACACTCAGTCTGTGAGTCTGAACCCCCGATTAGCCTACACTAATGCTTCCGATTCTATTCTCTCCAACACAATGCATTCTAAGGACAAGTCACCGCAAGGAGTAACAGGTCAGTTCTGACCCTGAATGCTCTTTCTGTTAGTTTAGTACTGCGTTCAGTGCACTTCTTTCTTTCTGTGTTTAGATGGTGGTCATAATCCAGAGCATTGCCAGTAGACAGATGGACACCCCCTGTCCCCTGGCCTTCCATCTGCAGGTTACATGACCCCCCCTTCACCCGCTCACACAAACACAAACAGACATCCACACGCAGATGCCCCTCCGCTCTTCTTCCGCCCACTGTAAGCTGCTGGATTAAGTGTGAGTGGAGAAGCTGTGTTCACATTAACCCTTCAGATTCAAATAATCTAAACAAATCCCTCTCCTCTACCTACACAATTACTCTTCCAGCAGCAAAACAAGGCTCAAGAATAACTAGCACCTCGGTTTCCTGGAATATGACACTCTGGTGCGTGTTTGTATTGGTGAAGATGGATTTTTTTAACAAAACATAGCATAAACACGCACAGACGGCCACACACAGGCCAATACAGATGAATGTCGGGCTTCTTCACACAATGGACAAGGCTCATCCATCTCAAAAGGGCCTTGGAGGTTGTGACACAGCAGCTGATGGCAGGTCACTGAGGGGTCACACAATTTGACCTGGGACTACTGTTTTATTTTACATAAGCTGAAAGTTATGTCCGGTTTATATTTTAAAGGTTATACTGTATTTCTGGCTCTTCTTCAAACTCTTGCTACAATTATTTGACTGTGATCCTGCTTGCTTAGTATGAATGGCAGAATGCCAGCTTGTCTATTTAAAAAAAAAAAAAAAACAGAGAAGCCTGCAGTTTTCCAAGCCTGCAGATTCTATATGTACAGCTTATATTTCTAAAAAAACTGGATGTTATACTTTATAATGGTGTTTGTTGAGTTTAGTTTTTATCATTTTTTTTGTTATAGAAACATATTGGATTTCTTAAAGATAGCATCTTTTTACAAGCTTGATATCACGGAAGAAGTTTGGATTGATCATCAACAATACCACTTTTAATTACAATTAAAAAAAAACAAAAAAAAAACATTGTGTGTTTATTGGGAGCACTGTCCGAAAAAAAATGTTTAATAAAGAAATAAGATTTGTACTAAGGATATTATAACTGGTTGCATAAAAAAAATGATAACAGTACTTTGGATGACAGAAGGTTCTCCAAAGGTGGCCCAGTGGATTTAGAGACTTAAAACAGGTCTATGCAATGGGGAAAAAATGCTTGCCTGATATTTTTCTGAAGAGGTGGAAAAGTATTACAATATATTTAGATATGACCATTTAGAGGTTAATTAACCAATCACCAATGTATTCTGAGGTAACTACAATGTAACACAATGTAACGTGATGTACAAATAAAGCCCCTGAAAAGTATTTATAATAATTTTTATTTGTTTATTTTGTATTATTTATATTATCATTATTTTTGTTTATTCCCTCATCTGTAAGGGATTAAATTGTAGGGTAAGAGGATGTTCTAAAAAAATAAATAAATAAGTAAAACCCAATTTGTACAGCTATACAAAGTTTTGACCTGTGCATAATTCTGTAGCACCAATGTGTTTTATAGTAAAACAAGAGGAATAAATATATATTTATTATATATATTTTTTGCCTAATTTATGATTTAATGTTCTAATTATTACATCAGTCTAACTTCAATATAACACTTCTGCTAATCTCCACAGTATACCAAAACAGTTGCTGATGCTAAGCAATTACACTCTGGAGCCCGGGCATGCTTCACTTAATAACTATCAGTGTGATGTAGTCAAGGTCAAAGACTATAGAATACACAAGATGTGTCACTCGTATAGTTTTAAATGGGGAAAAGTGCAAATGAAGCCCCGCCTTTTAGCACAAGAGCCAATCATCGATTACTTTAGACTGACGATTCTTCGGGGAAGGGGCTCGGAGCAGACTGAGTTTCTGCAAATTTGTGTGATTCGAATGTTTAGAAATGAAAGTAATGAGACATTGGTTATTGTTGTTTCCTAATATTAAATTTAATAGCTTGGCTTGAAATGACTTGCCTTAAAGGGAACTTTGTCAAGGTGCTGTGCATATTATTAGTACCTGTGCTTCCCATTTCTTTAGCCTGCACTGTAAGCACATGGAAGAGGGTCCAAACGGCACAGGGGTATCCACGATATCGGGCCTGAGATCCCTGACAGCCCACCCACTGCACGCCCTCAGGCAGCACTGCGTCGCTCGTCTAAAAGCACACACAAACACTCTCAATTGACTTGTGCGTTTCACTTGTGAATCAATTGAAGCCAATCAATTTTCCTTTCAGTCACTCCTCAAATGAAGTGAAGCAATGAAATGAGGTACGGCTGTTGTAGGAAATAAAACCCACTGATAATTTTCAAACACATACATAAATAGAAAAAGACTATAATAAACAGAATCAAACTGTGATTTGGAACACATTTAAAGCTCCTTTTGGTCAGTTTCCTGTGCAGATTTACTCATCAGTTGATTGGTAGGTTTGCCTATAAGAGGTGGTGATCTTGATGACAACAGCTCATTTCCTTACGGAGGCCTTCTTACTTCCGCATTGATCTATTGATTCATTGATTGAGCTGCTAAAAGCTAATGATGTCACTAACTCTGCTTCAGTGTATGTTTGTGTGTGAAGGTATGTAAGCTTCAGCATCAAGCAGTGGAGATCAAAATTAGACCAGTTTAAAATTAATGGAATCTTCATCAATCAAAATATGCCCTTTATCTGGACAACTTGCTGTTGGAGGATTTAAGTTTCTTTCGAATGACTTGACAACTTGCAAAAACTATAAAACAGACCCCCTAGTTTTTCGCGTTTGCTGAATCCAACGCAAAGTGAAGTTTCACAAATTAATTTCCAGAGGAGCACGTGATATTATTGAGAACGACTGGCTTCTCATCAGTAATCAGTAATAATCCAATCAGAGTGATCCAAGCTTACTATAAATGGATCGTTTTCTTCCTACTGCTCTATCTTCATTTTGGAAGGATCCCCCCTTCCACCCCATCTCCTCCTTTTTCTCTCTTTTCCAAGAGGGAGCTCTCGAGAACTACCAGATCTCGGATCCCCTTATATGCATATTGACTGGGCGGGAGCCTTGGGCTCAAGTATCTCTGAACTCAGGGTTCTCTCCCAGGACAGCATGCCAAACCTGCTATAAACACTAAGCATATCTAAGTGGAAACTCTTGAAATCAACAAAAAGTCGTCATTTTAGCGATCCTGCAAAACTATTATTTTAAACGCAAAATAAATCGCAAAAAATGTAAATAATCTCATAAAAAATCCAAATCCAAAACAAATAATCATATTAGATTTATTTCAGTTTGCGATTGTTTTACATGACTTATAGACATTGGATACACAGCTCAGTTGATGTGTTTGAGTGTGTCTCGAAAAAAAAGACGTCTCATCTGCGCCCTCACAATCAATACATTACATGTGCAGTAGCAGATGCAGGTGAAGTGTGAGTGATTTACATGTGAAGTCAATGCAAAGATCCTGTGGCGCAAATAGAGTGAATAGCATGGCGCAAATTGGGCGTTTTGTGACTTTGACGTGCGTCAGACTGCAATAGAAAGTGTGAGCAAACATGTAACAAATGGAGCAATGGAACAGACAGAAAAGCAAGCAGCTTACAATGATGGAGATTGGATCAAGGATGGTCGCCGCTGGACAAGACAGAATTGAAGGACATTATTTTTTGCTTTACATGTATGATTGGTATTATGATGCACATCAAATCGATAAATGATTTTGTTAAACTCTTTCCCAGCAGTTAACGAGAGAAAATGATTCCCTGCCATTGGTGAGTTTTATGCCAATTCGTGTTTTAGGTGTATTAAGGTAGGGGAAGCCCTAACGCATGTCCGGAGTGAGGTACATGATATCAGATACTCCGGTGAGTGAAATCTGAGAGAGAGAAAATAAGATTGTGAAATAAGAATCACACAATCTTTCTTTGGCTTAATCTTTACCATTTATTTCTGTTTTAGATCTATTCTTGACAACAGACCAAAATAAAGAAGCTTTATTTTTATGATTTGTGTCATTGTGTCAGATTACACACCTAAAAGGCTGCCTAATAATATATATAGATATATATATAGATATCGCAAAATTGTCTGCAACTGACCACCAAAAGATCAGTCATCTTTAATCGCAAAAAAAAATATTGAAAATTAGGGGGTCTGGTAAAAGCTGGAAATTCTTCTTCCAGTTAAATAGGGTTGGTCAGATATTTTATAAAACAACAACAACAGACTGACATAATTAACCAGTGGAATCTGAAAGTTTTCTCAAAAAAAAAAAAAAAATTTTTTTCAAAAACCTAATTTAGGTTTTTGTAATTTACTTTAGAAAATACGCAACTCATGAAATAGGTGTTAAAATCGATCTTTTACTCCTGATGGTATAACTTAAAATAGGACTAAGAGGTGACCTTGACATTTAGAAAACTGCAGGTTGTTTTTAAATTCAGATCTCCACTGTATAGACTTGCATCACCCAAAATAAAAATTTCTGTAATCATTTAATCCATTTGAACGTCTTTACAGAAAATATATTTATTAAAAAAAATGTCTTAGTGCCTACAAAATGAAAATCAACGTTGTTTTGGTCCCCAAAGACTTTCATTGTATGAACGAAATGACTTCTATTCAGCTGGTTTGGATTGACGTGGGTGAGAAACTGATGACAGAATACTTATCCTTTTAAGTAAACACAGCACTTTTAACCACATTTAAACATCTAACTCATAACTCATATTCATTTGCCATATGAAACAGTTTTTATGCAGGCTGCATGTGATGTGGAACGACAAGGCTTGAAATTGTGCTTGCACTGGCTTAAACAGTTCAAATAGATGTTTTAATAAATTTAAATGAGTGACAGCATCCCAATACGCTGACCTCATGACCCAAGTCTAAGTGGAGAAATGCTTGCGTCAAAGTATTGACAAGTCCAGGTACCTTTTCAAGTAAATGCAGTCCTTTGATAAGTCAAACCTCTGCTTGTCAAAACTATTATTTATCATGTCTAATAGTGTTTATAGTCGCAAATAGAAATAAAATATGAAAACAAACTAAAGTAGGGTCGACCAACCTGTACGACATTGTCCAGGACGTCTCTGAAATCACTATATTTGATCTCGGTCCCCTTCTGTGATTGTAACCAACTGTCCACAGCCTGTAATGCACTCTTTACAGATGGACGGCCTGGGAAATACTGCAAAAACATAACAAACATATAATCACACACACACACACACACACACACACACACTTGTGTTTGGGACAAAGCTAGAATAAAACATTTCATCAATTCCCATAAGTCCTTTTAAAGCTAATAAATGTGATGACTATTTCTGCAATACCAATAGATGCTGTCAAATGGCGAGATCACCAGATTCGCTAATGTGCTACTTTAAGACGCTAAGTGACAGCAAAACTACACACTGCAGTGCTTTGAAGCAAGCAATGAAAATGCGGCCCTTTAAACAAGAATAAATGTCTTTGCACACTGAAGTGCAAAATTTTCGTATGAGTTTTCTTCATATTCATATGCAAAAAACTTGTCAAGTAAAACAAACCTTGCACAAAGAGTCCGATGCATATTAATTAATCCTTCCAGGAAAAAACGCAAAACATTACAAAGTCAGTTTAAGCAGTGATACATTGTTCTCCTCTCTCTTGCCCAAAGTAGAAAAAGAAAGAGGACAAGACATATTGTGTTCATTTAATACTAGCCTACATAGAGAGGAAGGAGAGTTCTCCTCCTTATCAAAGAGCAGCACTACGATTATTCAGAAATGCAAAGTTTATTTCAGGAAATCAGTGGAATTTTGATACATTGCTTGTGATACTTCACACATTCACGAATGTAAACAAATCCTGAACAGAGATTGGCAGTACATACAGTCAGACCATGCTTTCTATTATAATGTCTGGGCAGTACATCATATGTATGGACACACACACACACTAAACAGCAGCAAGGCAGAGGTGCTTCAGTCACTGAATTCATATTGGGGTTCTCAACTGTCTGCCACGTTCTGTGTCTTATCTGTACCTCATGTGATGGCATTCTGTATTTAGCTTTTTGCTTGTATGGTGGCTCTGAACTGTCAAAACACCTCTCCAAGCGTTTTTTTTTTTATGCAAAAAGCAGGGAAAAAAAAAAAAAAGAAAAAAAAAAAAACTAACCTGGTATGAATGATTTTTTGACAGATAAAAATTTCGGAGGCAGTGTGTCAATACGATTGTGTAGACGAAAATTTCAGATTCAGTGAGCATTAACCTCAAATATGTCAGTTTTAGGACCATTATTAAAAGTAACAGTAACCTTAACAGTACTAATAAATAATAATTATTGAACAACTATTTACTGTCAAAAATATAAGTACTGTAGTTTTTTTAATAAAAAATGTATTAGCTTTTATACAGAGTTTCTATGTCTCATCAAGTCAAAATTAAGACTTTTTAAAATCTTTTAAAGACCATTTTAATACCATAATAAACTAAATTTCAGACTAAATCCTAAAGATCTTTTGAATGGCCAAGTTAAAACCTTAAAAAATCAAAATAAACATTATTATAAAGAAGATTAAACCATATAAATAATTAAATGGACTTAATAAATAAGTGTTTCTTAAAATTTGTATTACAAAATATACATTTGGATGAGTAAATATAGTGATTAGATGGGTGTTGGCCTAATTGGGTATAGTTTTACATGGACAAAGAAAAATTAAGACCTGTTTAAAATTATTTAAGGCCTACCACAACATATTTCAGTGGATTTAAGACTTTTTAGGGTCTAAAATTTGTTTTTGGAAATTTAAGACATTTTAAGACCCAGCAGATACCCTGTTTATACCAAAGAAACAAATAACAATTTTAAAAAACGATTTTAGACCATAATTTATAAACTGTTTTGATCATAAATCATACCACATTTACTATGTACGAGAACATTCTATTTACTAAGTACAAAAATTCATAGAATATAAATGTACAATTATTAATGCAAGTAATTTGTAAATCACTGAGAAAAACAAAGAATAAAATAAATATTATAATATTAAACATCAGCATATCATTACAACAATATACTTTAAATGTGTTTTAGTGTGCTTTAGTGTAAAAAAGTAAGCAACACAAGATGTACTACTGTTAAATGTATTATTACATTACTTTTCTTGCAGATTTAATAGTGTAAAAAAAAATGTGCGTGGAAGTCTGGAAGCTCAGTGAAGTAATGAGCATCCTGTGCCATGTGGCACGAGGGAATGGACAGATTCAATGGCCCTGGACAGACGCCAGTGCTGACCTTACAATTCTGTGTCTGAGCTGAGGCCACAAAGCCAACGCTAACATTCTGTCACGACCCCATAAACACAGCCACATCAGAGCAGTCCAAGCCCAGTGTGTGTGCGTATGTGTTTGTGGTGAGGGCCTACAGGATCCCAGAGGTGCACCTTTCTTTGATTTGTGCTCTTGCGTCTTTTCAATTTTCCTGCGGCCATCTGTTCAGCACGGTGCAGCCTTCTATTCATCACCCTCTAACAGGATCTCTATTAAAACGCGGCTCACTTAAAAAGGCCTTGCGGAGATTTACTTAACCCCAACGCCCCACTCCATTCTGATTTGTTTCCTTAATCTGGGAGATTCAACCATTGAGAACGCAGCCAAGGCGGAAAGCTAATCAAAGCTGCACAGGTGGGAAAAGGAGAAAGTCTCTAGTCTGTTACTGAGTGTGAGTAACTGAACAGATCTGTGCACTAGTCTGGCCTCTAACTAGTGTGAAAAGCTCATTAAGGGACCTGGGTGTTGAAGTGGGTAATCTGGGATTTCTCATACAAAAGGCATTGTTTAAAACTAGGTGAAAACTCTGCTCTGAACTGCAATCAAAACAACAAGGGCGACATGAATAACTCTCCGGGGTGACGAATGAGAGACCGTGAAATCATTCTGTTACGCTCCAAGGTCTCTCTAAGATATATGTAAAAAAAAAAAAAAAGTGTCTGATGAAAATCAAAAAGGTTTTATTATTTGACATGGTTAAAACTGTAAAATCAACTAAAGGAGAAAAGAATGTCAACAAACTGGCTCACACTTTGATATTAACTATACTCAAAAGCATATGGACACTGGATATACTTACACTTTATTTAAGTATAAAGTCAAAGGTTTTTTGTCATTTTTTGAGTGTTTTAAAGGTTTAAATTGTCCAAATTGCAATATCTTGCTACAGGGGTGCTGCAGGGCTCAGTTCTAGGGCCATTACTCTTCTTCATTTACAATAGGATATGCCATTCAAAAACATGGTTTTTAAATTAAAATATTTCACAATATCACTGTTTTACTTTATCACACAAATCAACACTTTTTTTAATAAGTCAATGCACTGCAAGCGTTAGAAACATTATTCAGAAACAAAAATCAAATCGACCCCAACCTTTTGTACAATATTGTAACATGCATGAAAGCATCATTTAAATAAACATAATGCAGGTCTGTTGAAAGCTTGATTATGATTGGTTGCAGAACAGATACGTTTTATATTCAGGAAAACACAGCAAAAGGAGTTCCAGACAGGTTGACAGCATTACAAATGCATATAACTATGCCAAATGGTTTCAATTATTTTAAAAGTCCTTCCACCAAATGAACCAAAACAAAAAAATATAAGCAAATAAACTGACATGCAGAAAAACTGTAGTCAGTGCTGCCCTGCAACATTATCAACATAATAGCTATGCAAATGTGAAAATGAACAAATCTCAGAATCCAAATAGTGTTTAATATTGTTGCTGTTCATTAACGTAAGAGTTTTGCAAACAGTAACGTAAACTACATCAATTAAATAGTTTTGCAATTGAAAGCAACACAACATTTCAGCTGAAAACTGGTGAGAGATGATACAGTACACACTTTATTAGGTACACCTGTCCAATTGCTTGTTAATAAAAATTTCTAATCAGGCAAATCACATGGCAGCAACTCAACACATTTAGGCATGTAGACATGGTCAAGACAATCTACTGCAGTTCAAACCGAGCATCAGAATGGCGAAGAAAGGTGATTTAGGTGACTTTGAATGTTGCATGCTTGTTGGTGCCAGATGGACTGGTCTGAGTATTTCAGAAACTGCTGATCTACTGGGATGATCACGCATAAACTTCTCTAGCATTTACAGAGAATGGTCCGAAAAAGAGAAAATATCCAGTAAGCAGCGGTTTTGTAGGTGCAAATGCCTTGTTAATGCCAGAGGCCAGAGGAGAATGGCCAGACTGATTCGAGCTGATAAAAATGCAACAGTAACTCAGAAGCAGAAGAGCATCTCTGAACACACAACACGTCCAACCTTAAGGCGGATGGGCTGCAGTAGCAGAAGACCACACCAGGAGCCACTCCTGTTAGCTAAGAACAGGAAACTGAGGCTACAATTCGCACAGGCTCACCAAAATTGGACAATAGAAGATTGGAAAAATGTTGCCTGGTCTGATAAGTTTCGATTTCTCCTGCAATATTTAGATGGCAGAGTCAGATTTTGTCATTAACAACATGAAAGAAAGCAAGGACCTATCCTGCCTTGTATCAATGATTCAGGCTAGTGGTGGTGATTTAATGGTGTGGGGGATATTTTCTTGGCACACTTTGGGCCTATTAGTACCAATTGAGCATCATGTCAACGCCTACCTGAGTATCGTCGCTGCCATGTCCATCCCTTTATGACCACAGTGTACCCATCTTCTAATGGCTACTTCCAGCAGGATAATGCACCATGTCATAAAGCGAGAATCATCTCAGACTGGTTTCTTGAACATGACAATGAGTTGACTGTACTTAAATGGCCTCCACAGTCACTAGATCTCAATCCAATAGAGCACTTTTGGGATGTGGTGGAACGGGAGATTCGCATCATGGATGTGCAGCCGAAAAATCAGCAGCAACTGCGTGATGCTATCATGTCCATATGAACCAAAAGAAAGGAATATTTCCAGTACCTTGCTGAATCTATGCCACAAAAGAGTGAGGTAGTTCTGAAGGCAAAATGGGGTTCAACTCGGTACTAGTAAGGTGTACCTAATAAAGTGGCCAGTGAGTGTACATAAGGTAATGTGTACTGTAGACTATACACAGACTATGCAGTAGGTAATGTTAACCTAAGGTGCACATTATTTTCAAATAATTCAATGGACATCCTATCTATTATATCTAAGA